TGTTCCACCAACCACCAGGGCAATGCTGCGAGAGTACCTTGATCATATTGAGATGAGAGTCACATCATGAAACTTCATCACATCATGGCAGAGACTAGAAGTAGGAATCTTAACGGGATTTACAGTGTCAGTAGTATTTTTTTCAGCAGCAGCAATGAACCTTACTGTGAAGTCAGTGGAAAAATCCAGTCGAGGACAATGAATGCATGTCATCAGGAATGAGGTAACCACCAGTAAAAAAGTTTAACAAAAATACCCAACTCCAAGGTAAATTAAAAAAAGGGTAAGTCCATAAAACTGACAAAATCAAACGTTATAAACGAACAGAACGAGTGAAAAACAACTGTAATATTCCTGACTTGATACAGGCATTTTCCGAAGAAAATGGTGGGTTAAAGAGTAAAGGAGTAAGAACATTTATGGATGACATGACTGAGTCAGCAATTAAAAATAATAATAGAGGGAAGATGAATTATAGAGGTGTTGGAAAGAATGATACGTTGGACGACCGGAATGAAAGTTAAACCAACTAAATCAAGAAGTTCAGTTGTAAGGAAATGCAAAGTGAAGAATGAAACTTTTGAGTAAGATACCAACACCAACACCAGTGAAATGCTTAGGAAAATGTTTGATGCTACACTAGCAGACAGTGGAAACATCAATGAAATATAAAAGCCGTTGGAAGATTGGCTGTAGAAAATACACAAAAGTGGCCTGCCAGGGAGATACAAGGTTTTGCTATATCAGCAAGGAGTCTTGCAGAAGATATTATTAATGTTATTGGTATATGAGTTTCCCCATGTACAAAGTTGAGGTTTTAAAGAGTCTGAACAGTGCGCGCCTCAGCAGCATTGGCTGATATACTAAGCTGCAACTACCAATCAGTGCGTTTACAGAAGAGTTTAAAGTCACAAATATGGCAGTTGTTTTTCACTTATCCGTTGATTAATAGCGTTTGATTTTGCAAGTTTTTATGGACTTCCCCCTTTTGAATTTGCCTTGTTATACTTTTTCACAAAAAGACGACAGGTTATGATGTTGAGGGACAGCAAGGATAGAAAAGTAAGATCAGTCAAAGTGAAGATCAGGACAGAAAGAAAGTGTGAAGCAGAGCAAGCAGTGAAAAAAGCAGAGACATGACTAAGATACAGTGTCATCGTTGGTGTCACATCAATGAGCAGACAATTTTTTGGTTTTGGTATGCAAACAAAACCAAGATGAGATACAGCTGATGAGGTGGATATAGAAAGGATTTGGTACAGCAAAAATAATAAGGCAGTAAGCATGGAGCAGCAAGTTAGTTGGTTAAATTGGCAAGAAGATAAAAGCAGGGCCTTGACTTGGAGAGAGATTTGTAGTTTGGAGGAATACCACTTGAGCTTGCTATTAAGATCAGGGTATTATGATGTACTACCAAGTCCATCAAAACTTCTACACGCGGGATTGATAGAAGATCCAATGTGCACCTTATATGCAATGACAAAAAAAACCAGCAACTCTTCAACATGTGTTGTCATCATGACCAGTGGCACTGAAAGATGGTAGGTACATATGGATACATGAAAGTGTACTGAAAACAATAGCGAGGTTGGATATCATCGGGAGGAAGAAGACAAAGGTCGAGAAACACATCACTTTTGTAAACTTTGTCAAGGAAGAGTGGAGAGAGGAAAGACATCACAGCAGAAAGCCTTGGGACTGGCAAAAGAATGTACACATTCAGCAACGCATGAGCTTCCCAGCAGAAATAGCAGCAACATCGCTAAGACAAGATATCGCGCTCTGGTCACAAGGAACAAGGCAGACAGTCTTGTTCGGAAAAAATTAAAACACTTTATTGATGTCATGCGTTCGAAGTGCTTTTCTGGATTTACTTTCATCGGGAACGCTCAAAGTGGAATATTTTTAAAAACCGAAACAGTTGAAGGGCTATATGTTACCAAAAAGGACCTAAAGTATTAGCAAAATCAATCTAAGAAACCTTAGTTTTTATGAATAATGTTTAAATCCATAAATGGACAACTTTAGAATTGTTTGTTATAAATCATGTCAGTACTGAAGTACCGACTACTGAGCTGATGATAGCCTCGAGGACTGATGGTACACAAGCAGTGGTATCGACCCAGTGCTTTAAAGGAAAAATGAAAACAACACTTTAAAATGTCATGCGCTTTTCATGATTTACCTTCATCAGGGAAAGTAAAATATCAAAAATACCAACCTCTAAGGACAATTCAAAACGGAAAATCCCTTATCAAATGGCAAAATCAAAAGCTCAAACAATCAAACGAATGGAAACAACTGTCATATTCCTGACTTGGTACAGGCATTTCCTTATGTAGAAAATGGTGGATTAAACCTGGTTTTATAGCTAAATTTCTCACTTGTATGACGCTCCAAGCCGAATAATTGAAAGGATGCACAAGAACCGAAATAGTTTAGATAAGCCAATGATTAATATTAAGGCTTTTAGTGTAAATAATGGACTTAGATGATATAGACTTTTAAAACAGCAGGAATATCAATTGATAAAAACACAATTCAGCGACAGTGCAGCAGTTAAACCAACGAACACATCAGGAGCAATGTAATCCATCCAGTTTCAGGTTTATAATGATAACCTGTGCCGGCGCACCTGCGGAGGTGATTGTGGAACAGCGCAAAAACAGCCAAGAAAAGAGGACTCCGCCTGATGAGGTCGGATAAGCATTCACCGGAGTTCACCTAGTCTTAAGTGCATGGGTTGATATTGCTCAATCAAGTTTTTGTGGACGTTTTTTTTTTCTGTTTAGGCCATGGCGTTGGCTGTCCGTAGCTAGTTAATGGTTGTCCTTTGCTCCCCCTTTATGTTAGATCTTTCAACATTATAACCACACATTTTGTTTCATTCTATTTTATATTTTAAAGAGAGGTTAGGGAATTGTATTTAGCTGTGATGTTAATATGCCGGGTAGAATGATATCTGCATGTTTTGATGTGTTCTGTTACTCAAGAGTATGAGCTGTTGGTGTGTAATAAAAATTAAACGGTGGTTTTGATCTAAGTTACATTAAAAAAGAAACATTTTCCTGGATGATTAACATTTATGACTGCCTTCACCAGAAGTGGAAACTAGTTTTCAACAGGGTGATAAGCACTTTTAGATCTTTGGGGGTACCAATGGCTATTATTATACTTCACGTAAAAATGCCATATTTTGATTGGCTAATACGAGGGTGTTAATTTACTTTATTATACTTCACGTAAAAATGCCATATTTTGATTGGCTAATACGAGGGTGTTAATTTACTTTATTATACTTCACGTAAAATGTCATATGTTGATTGGCTAATACGGGGGTGTAAATTTACTCTATCACATGGCTGAGCGGGTGACAATTTTTTGGAATGTCACCCTCTCGTCCAGACCAATCAAAAATCGATAATTCAAAGGACAATGAATTGAAATTACATCAAGTTATTAAAGACAATGCTTAAGTTCTACGATTTGGCTCAGATTCTGTTATTTGACTGTCAAAATAAAAAATAAAACATCTTGCTCCCCGTAACGTTGTCATGTATGTGACGTCATAGAAAATACTTTTGAATAAAATTCATCTGTAAAAGACAATAATGATAGGACATTCAGTATAATAAATTAAATAACACATAGCTGAGAGGGTGATAGAGCAGATTGGTACCCCTCGAAAAAGCATTGTCAACCTTGGCTTCGCCACGGTTGACAATGTTTTCTCTGGTACCAATCTGCTCCAATACCCGCTCAGCTATGTGTTATTTATATATTGATATCAAGTACATATCGAAGAATTCAGCAACAAAACTATAGAAGGTTAAAGTTTAATAATAACAGAACGTAACCGTAGACACGAATATTATTGTTACATTCGTAATTAATCAGCCTCCTTACCCAATCCTGCATTGCGGTAATTAGTCTGCAATGTAACAATAACTTACATTTCAATGTAACCGTAGCCATGCAGTGCCTTCATTTTAATAGCTGAACACGCCTAGTTCATGCGTAACTCATCTCTAGCTAAGGGTTCGATTGAAGTTCACATGAATACGGATTTAATGAGGTCGAATTAATTATTCACTTGCAAGTGAATAATTCACTTGCAAGTGAATAATTCACTAGCGATGTTTCTGTGCTTATTTTGAACACGCCTAGTTCATGCGTAACTCATCTCTAGCTAAGGGTTCGATTGAAGTTCACATGAATACGGATTTAATGAGGTCGAATTATTCACTTGCAAGTGAATAATTCACTAGCGATGTTAATTTCTTTGCTTATTTTGAAAAAAATGAACCAAACTGCATGACTGCTAAAAGCGAATTATTATATCACTATTTCACTTTCATTAATGATTGGACAAAACAAATCAGAAAGTTAATGCCCCTTTAACAACCACTGTATGATGACAGTGTGGCCGAAACGTCTTATGTCGTGAACCGAGACACATTCCCGAGAATTTCCGAGACAGTTTTGCGAACGCTCCCGAAGATGCGCCATCTGCCATACCGAAGACGACATGATGGGATGAACTGAAAACAACATCGAAATAGTCTTAGTTTTTGTACATATTATTTGATCATTTCATCCATGCAGTTACTTCGCTTATTTTGAAGAATGCTGTGTGATATATTTTTCACCATATAGGTGCTATTATATTGTAAGTAAACACTACAGTATCCATCGGCATCGATCTTAGTGGGGTATAATAATTTTATATTTGGTTGTTGACATTGACTGAGAGAAGGTTGTGTAATCCCCTTACATTAATTTGTCATTCTTGGCATCGGGTTTTTCTAAATGGAGATTGTTTTTTGGTCGTTTTTTTTTATGAACAAAAAAAATAGAAGTGAAGAAAACGTCAATATTTTATTCAAAGCTACTGTTATTTTACATCTGGATGAAACTAGTTAAAACTGCATGTTAATATAGGTATGACTGGTCCCCTGTTAAAGAAGAGCAAACGAAGACATTTACAAAATTTTGGTCCAAACCAGCTAAATCTGGAAATAAAACCTGTCAAAAAGTGTCAACTGGTCAAGTTGGGGAAATTAAAGCTGTTCTGGCTTATTATTTGTAAGTCATACAATGAGACGGGGAGTTCTGTATAGCCTGCTGTCAAAGAAAATAGAACACTATGTTATTTGGATTTTATATGGTAAATTATTCCATACTGGGACCTCAATATTGTTCCATAGTCGGTAAGTAGATAATTCTAATAAAACATTTCTTATAATTTTCTGACTTAATTTAATCATATAACTTATAGCCTTTTGTTTTGTAGTTCTAGTGGCAATAATATTGTCAGCCGCTCTTGTTTATCAGTTAGGGGTTAATTAACTACCGTCTTTAGGGGTGTATAGTACTCAGGTCAGTGTTTTCCATTCGGCATTTAAGCCGGGTGTGCCGACCACCACCTTTTGAAAGCCGACCACCTTTCCATTTTAGGAGGCGGTCAGCTTTTTTTCAAATTCCGGATTTGTTTCGGTTCCGCACCGTAGAAATTTAAATACTAATCATGCCTCACTGATTGATAAAAATGGCAGATCATCAAATTTCAATGTTTTCTTTTATTAATCGGGGGAACAGACAGGCAGATGAAGATGGTGATAAGGAAAATTCTAGGCCAAATAAGTCAACTAAAACGGATAGTTGTATTGAAATTGTTGAAATGGAATAAAAAGTATCAAAACAACGGAAAAGGCACAGAAGCGATCGCGAAGATAAACAGGTCGGGAAAAGTTTACAAGAACCTGTATGATTTTACATAATGGCAGACAAATTTGCATACAAGTGTAAATACGTCTATCCCCCAAATGAGTGATATCCCTTAAACGAGGGACTGTCTCTCTGGCAAGAAGTTATGTTAATTCTGTCGAAGAAAAGAAAAGAGAAAAACTTAGATTTTTTAACTCAAAAGGGGAAAAAATCGTTATATTCAGACCAACTTTTCTAAAAGAAGGTCCCATTATTTTTAATGATAAAGAAGAAGTCCAGGAATATTACAAAATGTTTGGACATGTTTTGACCATATAATACCAAATAGATGTATATTTCTTTGGGAAATTTTTCTGTAAATAAAATAAATATGTGCTCATTTGTATCTTGTTAAATGTACCCCTCATAAAAGAGATAGTCATTATATTGAGAGGTTACCCCTCATTTGATAAATATGAACAGGACTTTGAATGGCTAATCATCACAGAAGGAGGATATTACTGCTTTGTGTTCCAAAAATACAGCACTAAAGCGAGGAACAGGACAGAAACTTGGATCGATAAGCTATGTATATGCAGGAGGAGGGAGTCCTACAAAAGCCATATCCGAGATCTGCAAAACTAATTGGTCAAATGAATGGCTAGCAGTGATAGCAGAAGAACAGTTCAATTTTATTAAATGTGTATACAATACTAATCCTTCTTTTTGTGACCCCCTCCAACAGTAAAAAACCCGGTTGGAAATGTTAAAACAAAAAAAAACAACCGGTTGCAAGTGATTTTTTCACAACACCCACCTTACATTAGTGAAAAATGGAGAACACTGCAGGTTTTTACCCTGGGAATGATTTCTGAAAAGTGGGTTGCGTATTATGCATGGCTACACTGTTCTTTGACTTTTTTTCAGGCCGAATTCCAACCAAGAAACCAGGTGGTCTGCAGGAAAATATTTACGTAGCATAAAAATGATTGTTGTTATGTTGTACATGTATATTTGTACCTTCTTGTTTCTGATTTGTAATGTTATATGCAAATAAAAATCATTTACATGCTTTAGTAGTTGTTTTTTGCGTTTCTCTGTTGCTGCCTGGAAGTTGCGTTTGATCATGTCCAAATTAGAGATGAAGGACTTTTGTCAATGGCCAAATTAGTGTAGGTGTTTCCCGAGTTTATTACTTACTTTGTATACATGTTCTAACAAGGAATACAGATGGTAAATGTATGAAAATTGAATGAAACACGCTCGTTTGATGATAGCAACCGCCATTGTTTTTTTTTATTTCGTAGTATCAGGTGATCACATGTAATGTGACTTTTAACGGTTGTCCTAAAGTTGAATAAAGTGATGATTTTAAACATGTTTTTACTATGTAAAATTTTTTAAAAACCTGCATACAAATAGTAATTGCAGACATGTCAATGACATCTTGTAAACTGTATGAATTTGATTTTAAGGAATAAAATTAAACTGTCAATTGATTTGTTTTGACAATGATTAGACTTCCTAATTGATATTCACTAAGAGTGTGATAATCCTTATTAAACGATTCAATGAGTACCAACAAACAATAAATTAAATTCGCAGAGATTAGTATTTATTTTAGCAATAATATATCAACATAAATATTACAATTTATTTATTTATTGTGTATTTAAGAATATTGGTAATGAATCTGTATTCCGTACAAGATTCACCGACTACGATTTGCATTTAAACAACTTCCCGATTTAACACTTCCTGTTGTTCTCAATCAGTCACATCTATGCAAACAACAAAGAATCAAACATCGTTTGCTAAGTTATTTATTCTGCAACAATGTTTTCACTATCCTGTAATCAACCTGGACTGGAGTTTAATTTGTCTCTGAAAAAGAAACCATTTTCAATGGACGCATTTTACTGAGTTTCAATTTGGGATTTTTCTAGAAAATCCCTGCGTGTAAAGCATAAAAAGAAACCTTTTTCTCAAGTTTCAAGGGTGAAAAAGGGGGTACGTACTATGCATGGGTGCGTTTTATACACACTTAAAGACCGTATACCTGCCAACTTTCGTTTGAAATATCTTGGAAGAAATTATTTTAACAAAATAAACCAATGCCACTCTTACGCGTGTCATAATTTTTTTTTATTGTAAAAACAGAGGCTGTTTTATGGTTATCCTTTAAGGATGGAAAATTGATCTCATGGTGCACACATTCATGTAAATGGACTCCTGAAATTATTTTTTGAAGAACAGTAACTTTCATCCAGATGATATTTCACTCATTTGGAAAATGTTGACTTTTACATGATCAATATGTGCACCATGAAATATCCTACGCATGCTTATTTTTCCACACAAAAAAAACCCCTAAAGTATCTAGTGGTCAATACACTCCTCACGCTAAGCCATTGTAAAATTACTATTGAGTCTAAAAAAAATAGAGGTTAGAATCTTTTAAGAAAAAAAATGAGTGTTGTGTTGGGCTTGTTGTTGCAAAAGTTTACAAAAAATGCATAACAGAGACTGGCAGACAATATTATAGAAAACTGTCAATACAATACATCCGTCTCAAACTTGTTTAGGGTCTAGAAAAGTTGTGAATGAAGCTAACAAACTAGTTATGAATTTGATTCAAAATAAAATAAATTTTACAAAGCTCTTATAAATGTAAACTATTTTTTATTAACTTATTATTTCAGGTCTATTATTTAGTTAATTGAAAGAAAGAGGTGTAATAATGCCTATACAGATCCCGCAGTGGACAGAATTTTTGTCCTGCCAAGTTTGTTTCCATGTTTTTGATGAAGGACACCATAGACCAATAAGTTTAGCATGTGGTCATACAGTATGTAGAACATGCTTGTGCAATTTGCCTCAGAAGCGATGTCCCTTTGACCAGAACACGATAGCAAAGGATATCAGTGAGCTGCCTGTTAATTACGCCTTATTGCAGTTGGTTGGTGCAGCTGTACCAGATACTGACACACTACCATCAGAGGGGATATCAGATCACGTCAAACATTATAATGCATCTAAACGTTGTATAGAAGAGCTAGCCCTTCATTTGAAACCTGTCAGTGCAGGTAAAATAACTTTTGGAATATTTAAATATTGCCAGCCTCAATTAGCATGATTAGTTTCTGTTGTTTTACAATCTAAATAAAATACAGATCCTGTGTCCAAGCTTTGCTTACAAACATCTGACAACACACAGTTTTACTTTCTGTTCTGGAAATAATTTATACCAGCCAAGGAAATTTCAGTTTTTAAATTTTTGAAGGTGTGTATCATTCTGACAAAACCAGAGGATCTTGAAAGGTCTTTAAAACAGAAAGTAGAAAGGAGTGTTTTCAGATCCTTGTAAACAATGCTTGGACACAGGATTTGTATTTTTTTAGGATTGTGTTGTATTAAAAATTCAAAAATATTGTTACAAATTTCACTACATATGCACATCTGTTCTTGGTGATTATGATTATGGGTGATTCACCCTGAAATATGTTCTTTAAATAAGAAAACAAAATTGTAAGTCTTTTATCACCCCAATTCACCAACGGTTAGATTAATGATAAGTAAATTACACTAGGTTTGATTAAATCAATGTGCGTGTACTGTACTTTTATTCATGATTGGTCTGTGTACACCTTTATTTTTATGCCCCTGCCGTAGCAGATGGGGCATTAAGTTTTACCCTTGTCCGTTTGTACGAACACTGTACGTCCGTCTGTACGCCGCAAAATTGTTTTCCGTTCTCTAACTTGAGTTTGCCTCAACCAAATGTTATGAAACTTATACACAATGCTTATTACCACAAAACACAGATCAAGTTTGAATTTTGGTGGCGTCACTTTAACCGTTCTAGAGTTATGCCCCTTTATAAATGGAAAAATTGCTAAATTTTTAGTTTCCCTTCTCTAACTTAAGTTTGCCACAACCAAATGTTATGAAACTTATACACAATGCTTATTACCTCAAAACACAGATCAAATTTGAATTTTGGTGGCGTCACTTTAGCCGTTCTAGAGTAATGCCCCTTTATAAATGGAAAAATTGCAAAATTTTTATTTTCTTCTAAATATTTAAAATTGGAGTTATCTTCCTTTGTCAATGATTATAGTTGAATCAACTACAATCAATGCTTTATACAATGCAATGTTTAATTTTTACTTCCACTGATAAAACACAGATCAAGTTGAATTTGGGTCGTGTCACTTTAACCATTATTGAGTTATGCCCCTTTATAAATCGAAAGATTGCAAAATTTTTAGTTTCCATTCTGTAACTTAAGTTTGCCCAAACCAAACATTATGAAACCTATACACAATATTCAATACCACAAAACTAAGATCAAGTACAAATTTTTATACGACCGCAAAAATTTTTAGCGGTCTTATATTGGTATGACGTTGGCGTCGTTGTCGTCGTCTTCCGAAGACACATTGGTTTTCGCACTCTAACTTTAGTTTAAGTGAATGGATCTCTATGAAATTTTACCATAAGGTTCAATACCACAAAAGGAAGGTTGGGATTGATTTTGGGGGTTATGGTACCAACAGTTAAGGAATTAGGGGCCAAAAATAAGCATTTTTGTAACTTCCAGACATAACTTGTGTGTTAGTGTATGGATCTCTCTGACATTGTACCACAAGGTTCCATATCACAAAGGGAATGCTTGGATTGATTTTGGGGGTAATTGCCTCAAAATATTAGGAATTAGGGGGCAAAAAACAAGCATTTTTCTAGTTTCATGACAATAACTTGTGTGAAAGTGTATGGATCTTTCTGAAATTGTACTACAAGGTTCCATATCACAAAGGGAAAGCTGGAATTGAGTTTGGGGGTAATTTGCCCGAAACGTTTAGGAAAAAGGGGCCAAAAATAAGCATTTTTCTAGTTTCCAGACAATAACTTGTGTTCAAGTGTATGGATCTCTCTGAATTTGTACCACAAGGTTCCATATCATACAGGGAATGCTGGGATTGATTTTGGGGGTAATTGTCTCAAAATTTTAGGAATTAGGGGCCAAAAAAGGGGCAAAAAACAAGCATTTTTCTAGTTTCATGACAATAACTTGTGTGTAAGTGTTCGGATATTTCGGAAATTGTACTACAAGGTTCCATATCACAAAGGGAAAGCTGGAATTGAGTTTGGGGGTAATTGCCCGAAACGTTTAGGAATTGGGGGCCAAAAAACACATATATGGGGTTCTTTGATATGCTGAATCTAACCATGTATTTAGATTTTTGATTTTTGGGCCCCGTTATCAACTTTGTCCACATTGAGGTCAAAAGGGTCCAAAATTAAACTTTGTTTGATTTCATCAAAAATTGAATTCTTGGGGTTCTTTGATATGCTGAATCTAACCATGTATTTAGATTTTGGATATTGGACCATAATAGGTGAATGTCCAATTTAAAATTTTAAGTTCTTAGACCACATTCATTCTGTGTCAGAAACCTATGCTGTGTCAAATATTTAATCACAATCCAAATTCAGAGCTGTATCAAGCTTGAATGTTGTGTCCATACTTGCCCCAACTGTTCAGGGTTCGACCTCTGCGGTCGTATCAAGCTGCGCCCTGCAGAGCATTTTATTTGTTTAAGTTTTCTAATTTTAGTTTGCCTCAACCAAATGTTATGAAACTTATACACAATGCTTATTACTACATAATACAGATTAAGTACGAAATTTGGTGGCAACACTTTTACCATTCTTGAGTTATGTTCCTTTATAAACATAAAAATTGCTGAATTTTTCGTTTCCGTTCTCTAACTTTAGTTTGTCTCAATCAATTGTTATAAAACTTATACACAACTTTTCTAGAGTTATGCGTGTTTACAAATAGAAAAATTGCTGAATTTTTAGTTTCTGTTTTCTACTTAAGTTAGCCTCAACCAAATGTTATGAGACTTACACACAATGTCTATTACCACAAAACTCAGATCAAGTTTAAATTTTGGTAGCGTCACTTTTACCGTTCTTCAGTTATGTCCCTTTATAACTATATGATATGCAAGCGGGGGCATCATCTATGTCCACATGTGGACACTATCTACATTTATTTTCAGTTTATGATAATAAGCACTAAGAAAAATGTTGATTATCATGCTTATAAAGGTGAATCCACTCTTATGAAAAAAATCAAACATGCAGACAAAACACAAAAAGCATTGAAAAAAAAATTCCGAATTGTATTTTATAGATGTTAAATATTTCCAAATGACTGAATGGTGTCTTCATATTACATGTGTTATAAATGATCAAATCATTCCTTAATTGCAATGTGTGCATTTCTTGTTTTCTATTGTAGCTGACCAAAAGTTGAACACTACATGTCCTTCTAGTAATGGTGAACCAAACAATGGCATTTTAAGTCGACCAATGCAACGCAAGCTGGTAACGCTAGTAAACTGCCAACTGGTTGAAGATGAAGGGAGAGCTCGAGCAATACGAGCAGCTCGTTCTCTGGGAGAAAGAACAGTGACAGAACTGATTCTACAGCATCAGAATCCTCAACAACTGTCAGCTAATCTATGGGCAGCAGTACGAGCTAGGGGATGTCAGTTTCTTGGTCCAGGTAAAAAATTCCTTCCATTGAAAAATAACTAAAATATATATTTCAATACCGTAGAAAGGCTTGTATAGTCCGCGGTTTTATTCTCCAAAATTGGACCTTCCAGACGGGGTGCGGACTATAGAGTACAATAAGCAAGAAATCAGAAAAAAATTTCAAATTCGCGGTCGAGGTGGTTTGTTTACGTTCCGCCATCTTTGTTATTTCTATTGTAGAGGGCGCTCTTATCATTTTTCAAACTAATAATTTTAACTCATCCATATTAATAAGTTATTTCTATTCAATATCAAATTAATACTGATAAATATAAAAACTAAACCTTTAATATACAAATTTCTCGTTTCTTTTCAATGTATTGGTTGAAATAAACTGGTATCTGCTTGATTGAAACGATACAAACATAGTGAAAAAGACAACCGTAAACCAGCTTAGAATTTGTAAACTACAAAACGTAATCGGTTATTGTTCGTTCCGTTTTGGTGTTTCATACTGACTAATATGGTTTGTATTAGCTTAAGACCCTTCAAACATTAATGTGATTGATATATTAAAGACTGTTTTACAAAAGGATGGAACTGTTTTACTTTCAAAGTCGTATTATAGTGATATCTGTTATGTACGGATTTCGACTCTCACCGGTTAATTTCTTCTTTTACACGTGCTTTTTAAACTTCCTGTTTAAACATACACAAGTTTCTAAATTGTTTTTAAAGCGAATTAAACTTATTTTAACAATCATGAAGCGTTCTAGAATCATTTGCAAGCAGTTTCAGCTTCTGTTTGATGATGGAAAACAGGTTTTTCCAAGAAAATACTGCAAACGACCGCACAGGATTTGAAATTACCGGAGTTTCATTAGACCTTTTCTAACAGTTACAAAAAGTTTTTTTACCTAAAATTTCGTGGGGAGAAGGGGGTGCGGACTATGTACCACTGCGAACTATACAAGCCTTTCTACGGTAGTTTATGAAAAATATGAAACGCTTTTAAATTGAAGAAAAACAAACTATGCATGAGCATTTTTGAAATTATACCCCTAAAAATGAAGCAAGTTAATTGCTCTGATAATATTTTCGAATAACATATAGTATTTCACATACAGCTGATAGAGAAATTTCAATATTGTGAGAAAATGATATCCAGTTTAATTGTTTTTCAGCTATGCAAGAAGAAGTCTTAAAGTTGATACTTTTAGCCTTAGAAGATGGATCTGCTCTATCTAGAAAAGTCCTTGTTCTGTTTGTTGTTCAGAGGTTGGAGAAACACTATCCCCAGGCTTCCAAAACAGCTATTGGTCATGTAGTCCAACTCTTGTATAGAGCCTCATGTTTTAAGGTAAATATGCAGTCACAGTTTTTGTATCATAAATAAATCAAATTAAAAGCCATTTGAGACCAAATGTAAGACACTTACTTATATTTCCAATTATTAATGGGCTTGTAATGCAAAATTTCTACTCCAAGTTATTTGTTTTTAGTCAGATTATAGTCTGATGACGGATATGGTCCAATAGTTATCTACTGTAGATTCAATATTATCTGTTGGAAATCAGTTTTCATGGGTACAGGGGAACCACAAAATTGAACGTTTAACGAATTTCAAATTTTTCATAGAAACAAATGTTTGCAGATCAAATATCCAAGTTTTCCTCAATCCACAAAATTTGGTACTCACGAAAATAAATGAATCCACACTGTTATTTGTATGTATCTGCATCACAATAAAAAACTCGCCAGGTTTTTCGGAATTTGTGATTTCTGTTAACTTCAAAAGAGAGGCAAAGTACTTCTTGATGACACTTTAAAAAAAAAAACTAAACTTTCCATTTCCCTTTTTTAGGTGTCAAAAAGAGATGAAGAATCATCATTAATGCAGTTGAAGGAAGAATTTAGATCTTATGAAGCTTTAAGGAGAGAACATGACTCACAAATAGTACAAATAGCCATGGAAGCAGGATTGCGCATTGCTCCTGACCAGTGGTCGTCGTTGTTATATGGTGATACCAGTCATAAATCACACATGCAGTCCATTATCGACAAGGTACATGTCTTCATTATTGTTTTGAATATGTAAATGGATAATGGAATATAGAATAGTGGTTTTAGAAATAATCAGTGCAAAATAATAAGTTTTAAAATTAATGTTTAAATAATTATATCCAGAAATTGAAGAATTGTTAAAAATGACATAAAAAAGATATACATTTATAAATATAGAATAATGTAAAAAAAAAATGCATTATTAGCCAGACACAGAGGCTAGTTTTCATGGAAATTGAAAGTTATTGAAGGATGCTTAATATCTAGCAAGAGAATTTCAGGATAAAATTTGAGCTGATAAGTTTTTAAGCCTTTGAATTAACCCAGTCCAGATTTGAACACACGACATCCTGCCCTTGAAATCACTTATCCATAAGGCAAATATGGATGGAAATATGCAAATTAAGTACAGTATAAATAAAACATCTGTTAACTGTTAAGCTTACTTACATAGTACATCCTTTAACATCACCATGACATAATTAGTACATCCTTTAACATCACCATGACATAATTAGTACATCCTTTAACATCACCATGACATAATTAGTACATCCTTTAACATCACCATGACATAATTTATACATTTATAAAAGGCAAAGGATCCAACTTTTTTATGACTTATATTTGAAGTAAGTATAAACTTTATGGATCCTCTGTTTTTAAATGGAAAGGACAAGATATGTGTATTAATTCCTGACACAAAAGTCCTCCTGTCACTTACTCCAAAGGAAAGGAACAGCTCTCTTATTGCTGCTCTTCATCTTAAAATCACAGTGAGACCTTCAATTTAGAGCAAAAATTCAAAAAGTTTAAAGAAATATTACTTTCATTACAGTTACAGACGCCACAGTCATTTTCTCAGAGTGTCAACGAACTGATAATAACGTTACAAAGAACTGGTGATCCATGCGGTTTACAAAGATTACATCCACATTTAGAGTTCCTGGCCAGTGTTGATCCCAATCCTGGTAAGTTGTAATTCAACAGTTTAGGAAGCAGGTGGTAATAAGGGGTCAACACACTTCAAAAGTTAAGGAGAAGTGTCATTACCTAGCAGCCAAATAGGGAGAAGTCATGGTTTTCCTGTTTGATATTAATCATTCCTTAAATACTATAAATTCAGAAACTTTTGCATACATGTATTTTTGCAATTGTTGAACAATGGACAAGAATGTGATATTAACTATTGAGATTTCAGGTATTGCAAGAAAATTAAAACAGATGGTAGAAAATTTCAAAAAAATTGTCTCAAATTTCTTGAATTTTTTTAGGAAAGATGTACATGAACACTGTATAAAATCTGGAATTACATTATTATTTTGCTAATAGTACATGTTTTCAAAAGCATGATTACTTTGAATTGTTAGTGTTTCCTACAGGAGGTTTTGGCGTGGTATGCTGCGCTACCATTTTTTCTTGACGCCCTGCCCTTTTTAGAAAAAAAATTGGCGCCATGCCCCTTCTCCATTATATTTTGACATTTTATTTATTAATTATGTTTGAACACTTTTGAAACAACCGAGTACAAATATGGTTCATGATAAAATCTAATAAGGACAAAATTAACTGTGTACCTCTATGAATTTAAAATGTACACAATTTTAAAGAGAACCAGGCGATTATTTGAGTTCTAATTTTATAATGCATGGGATAAATATTGCGTAAAGAATCAGCTGTTTGTTTATGTTTTCATTTAAAGTATACCACTTTAACTATTCAGTCAGTTGAGACAGAGGATTGGTGTCAGTTTGCGTTCACTTTTACTGTTGTTAAATAAAATTAAATCAAAGTTCAGAGGATAGCTGATATAGTTTTCATCAACATCATTTCAATAAAAAAAAATCCCACAGAATTAGATGAAAAAAAAGACAATAGTCTAAAAATGGGTGCCTTCTTTACACAAAGAGGGTCCTTAAATGGTAGTCAACCATGCTAAGAGAAAAAAATAATCTGCCCTTTTCAAAAACTGCAGGAAACACTAATTATTAATTACACTATTTTATGATGTGGTAAATACCAGTGTTATAAATGTACACATACCTTTTTAGATGCACCCTCACCGTCATGGGAGAATCTGGAAGCTGTTATGAAAGCCATCAAGACTGTTGTTCAAGGACTTATAGATTTCATACAAAGTAATGGTTCTAAACATTTGGAGATCTTAACTTTACCCAATCTCAGATATAAGACGAGTATGTGTCGTGATTTGGTACAGAGGGGAACATGTCCAAGAGGTGGAAATTGCACTTTTGCTCATTCACAAGACGAGCTTGAAAAGTAAGTATTTGAAGAATGTTTGTAAAATTGTTTATTCTAAAGTGATACATATCATTGTTATTTTCACAGATTCTGTTAAGGCTTTCATTAAAGTCTGTTTAGGGCCTTATGAAAAAATCCTTTAGAATAATACAACTTTTTTGAAAAATTGTAGGACAGGATTATTATTTTACCATTTTTGGTAATAATTCAATTAAGGATTTTTATTATGATGGTCTTATTTCTTCCTTTTTGGCTATACCCTTTGAATATAGATGTTGAGACTGCAGTTTATGGCTGAAAGGTTATAATATGATAATACTCATTGAATATAGATGTTGAGACTGCAGTTTATGGCTGAGATGTTATAATATGATAATACCCTTTGAATATAGATGTTGAGACTGCAGTTTATGGCTGAAAGTTTATAATATGATAATATCCTTTGAATATAGATGTTGAGACTGCAGTTTATAGCTGAAAGTTTATAATATGATAATACCCTTTGAATATAGATGTTGAGACTGCAGTTTATGGCTGAAAGTTAATATTTTAATAAGATCCTTTGAATATAGATGTTGAGACTGCAGTTTCATATGGCTGAAAGGTTATATTATGATAATACCCTTTGAATATAGATGTTGAGACTGCAGCTTATGGCGGAAAGGTTTTAATATGATAATACCCTTTGAATATAGATGTTGAGACTGCAGTTTATGTCTGAAAGGTTTTAATATGATAATACATTTGTACCCTTTGAATATAGATGTTGAGACTACAGTTTATGGCTGAAAGTTTTCAATATGATTTAAACATTGAAAAATTAAATGTAGTATCTAGAAGAGTAAAGAATGTGTATAAACAGGTTGGCATGTTTTGTCTTATTTCAGATATAGAGCCAGAAATAAAAGATTAGGAAAAGGACAATTTTTACCAACAACAACATCAGCTTTAACACCTAAAGAAAAGTTAGCATTGGAAAGTGTTACAAAAACTACAGCTGAGAAGCTATTGGCAGCTGAAATATCAAAGTCTGGAAGCAGTATTGACACGATTTCAACTGATAAACAGTAAGTTGTATTTATTAGAAATTCGTTTTTGAAATACAGTTATACCAAAAGTGTTGGGCATTTGGACGTAACCAAGGAATAAAATCTATTGTAATTAATTAAACAGTGTTTTAAGATATTTGTTATATTTTAAATACAACTGAAAAGTTAAACATAAAAAGTTGAGGTTTGCATTACTTCTTCTTAATATACCACTGCTTCAAAAGTGAGGGGTTACACTGTTTTACCTGTATGTTCGTCTGTTGGTCCGTCACATAAAATTTCTGTCATATTTTTCATGTGAACCACAGATCTGAGCTTTCTGAAATGTTTTTTCGCCCTTATGTAAACATGCTTGACTGTATAATATGTGTTCAGAATGAGTTCTCATCAACTTCCTGTTTGCAGAATACTTATATATTTTAAAACATAATGGTTGTGTATGAAATTTTATGGAATTGTTCTTGGGATCTACAAATAAGAGTTTCCTGAATTTTGTTATCAGGCTTCATAAGAACATGCTACACTGTGTTCTTGAACTTCCTGTTTACTGAATTCTTAAAGTGGGGGAATCATTAGTGAGCAGTAGCTCACAGTTTTACTTGTTGTCTCAATTAATGAAGTATTCATTACACCTACATAAAAATCATATCATGACAAACATGACAAACACAAGGTAATGTTTTTCTCTTGACTGTTTATGACGTCTTTACACTAAATCCATAGGATGTTGGATGTGTACTGATTAATAATTTAGTCTAAGATGCATGATTTTTTATGCCCCCCCCCCCCCGTAGCGGAGGGGGCCTTAAGTTTTACCCTTGTCCGTCTGTACATACGTCCGTCCATCCGTACTTCTGTACGTCCCAAAGTTGGTTTCTGTTGTCTAACTTTAGTTTGCCTCAACCAAATGTTATGAAACTTATACACAATGCTTATTACCACAAAACACAGATCAAGTTCGAAATTGGGTGTCGTCACTTTTACCGTTCTTTAGTTATATGCCCCTTTATAAACATAATAAAATGCTTCGCTGGGCGCAGCTTGATACGACCGCAGAGGTCGAACCCTGAACAGTTGGGGCAAGTATGGACACAACATTCAAGCTTGATACAGCTCTGAATTTGGATTGTGATTAAATATTTGACACAGCATAGGTTTCTGACACAGAAAGAATGTGGTCTAAGAACTTCAATTTTTTTAATTTACCTATTATGGTCCAATGCCCAAAATCAAAATACATGGTTAGATTCAGCATATCAAAGAACCCCATATATTCAATTTTTGTTGAAATCAAACAAAGTTTAATTTTGGACCCCAACTTGGACAAACTTGAAAACTGGTCCCATAATCAAAAATCTAAACACATGTTTAGATTCAGCATATCAAAGTACCCCAAGAATTCAATTTTTGTTAAAATCAAACTAAGTTTAATTTTGGACCCTTTGGACCTTAATGTAGACCAATTTAAAAAACAGGACCCAAAATTAAAAATCTAAAAACACGGTTAGATTTGGCATATCAAAGAACCCCAATAATTCAATTTTTGATGAAATCAAACAAAGTTTAATTTTGGACCCTTTTGACCTCAATATGAACCAATTTGAAAGCGGGCCCACAAAATAAAAAATCTAAATACATGGTAAGATTCAGCATATCAAAGAACCCCATATATTCAATTTTTGTTGAAATCAAACAAAGTTTAATTTTGGACCCCAATTTGGACCAACTTGAAAACTGGGCCAAAAATCTAAAATCTAAATACATGTTTAGATTCAGCATATCAAAGAACCCCATATATTCAATTTTTGTTGAAATCAAACAAAGTTTAATTTTGGACCCCAACTTGGACCAACTTGAAAACTGGTCCCATAATCAAAAATCTAAACACATGTTTAGATTCAGCATATCAAAGAACCCCAAAAATTCAATTTTTGTTAAAATCAAACTAAGTTTAATTTTGGACCCTTTGGACCTTAATGTAGACCAATTTAAAAAACGGGACCCAAAATTAAAAATCTAAATACACGGTTAGATTTGGCATATCAAAGAACCCCAATAATTAAATTTTTGATGAAATCAAACAAAGTTTAATTTTGGACCCTTTTGACCTCAATATGAACCAATTTGATAGCGGGCCCACAAATAAAAAATCTAAATACATGGTAAGATTCAGCATATCAAAGAACCCCATATATTCAATTTTTGTTGAAATCAAACAAAGTTTAATTTTGGACCCCAATTTGGACCAACTTGAAAACTGGGCCAAAAATCTAAAATCTAAATACATGTTTAGATTCAGCATATCAAAGAACCCCATATATTCAATTTTTGTTGAAATCAAACAAAGTTTAATTTTGGACCCCAACTTGGACAAACTTGAAAACTGGGCTCATAATCAAAAATCTAAACACATGTTTAGATTCAGCATATCAAAGAACCCCAAGAATTAAATTTTTGTTAAAATCAAACTAAGTTTAATTTTGGACCCTTTGGACCTTAATGTAGACCAATTTAAAAACGGGACCCAAAATTAAAAATCTAAATACACGGTTAGATTTGGCATATCAAAGAACCCCAATAATTCAATTTTTGATGAAATCAAACAAAGTTTAATTTTGGACCCTTTTGACCTCAATATGAACCAATTTGATAGTGGGTCCACAAATAAAAAATCTAAATACATGGTTAGATTCAGCATATCAAAGAACCCCAAGAATTCAATTTTTGATGAAATCAAACAAAGTTTAATTTGGACCCCAATTTGGACCAACTTGAAAACTGGGCCAAAAATCTAAAATCTAAATACATGTTTAGATTCAGCATATCAAAGAACCCCATATATTCAATTTTTGTTGAAATCAAACTAAGTTTAATTTTGGACCCTTTTGACCTTAATGTAGACCAATTTGAAAACGGAACCAAAAATTAAGAATCTAAATACACGGTTAGATTCGGCATATCAAAGAACCCCAATAATTCAATTTTTGATGAAATCAAACAAAGTTAAATTTTGGACCCTTTGGACCTCAATGTGGACCAATTTAAAAACGGGGCCCAAAATCCAAAAACTTAATACTTGGTTAGATTCAGCATATTAAAGAACCCCAAGAATTCAAGAATAAAACCCCATTGAAATTGATCAAGAAATAAGCAATTTATAGGAAGTATCTTCTTTTGCACAATACTGTGCAATTGAATATTTCTTGCTATTGTGCAATACTGTACAATTGACAATTTCTTGCTATTGCGCAATATTGTGCTATTGGATATTTCTTGCTATTGCGCAATACTGTGCAATTGAAGATTTCTTGCTATTGCGCAATACTGTGCAATTGAAGATTTCTTGCAATTGTGCAATACTGTGCAATTGAAAATTTCTTGCTATTGCACAATACTTATTATATAATAATTTACACATCCTGTTTGGTGTGTATCTCCTACCATATCATTATTATTTGCTTTTAAATATTAATCAGAAATAACCAACTTAAAATGCAAAATTTTAAAAGAAAAAAAAAAGGAAAAAAAGAAAAAAAAAAGAAAAAAAAAAAATCCCCCCCCCCAAATTTTTTGAACCCCCTTATGATTCATCACCCCCAAACTCAATCCCAGCCTTCCCTTTGTGGTATGGTACCTTGCAGTACAATTTCAGAGAGATCCATACACTTGAACACAAGTTATTGTCTGGAAACTAGAAAAATGCTTATTTTTGGCCCCTTTTTGGCCCCCTATTCCTAAACGTTTCGGGCAATTACCCACAAACTCAATTCCAGCTTTCCCTTTGTGATATGGAACCTTGTAGTACAATTTCAGAAATATCCAAACACTTACACACAAGTTATTGTCATGAAACTAGAAAAATGCTTGTTTTTTGCCCCTTTTTTGGCCCCTAATTCCTAAAATTTTGAGGCAATTACCCCCAAAATCAATTACAGCCTTCCCTTTGTGATATGGAACCTTGTGGTACAATGTCAGAGAGATCCATACACTTACACACAAGTTATTGTCTGGAAGTTACAAAAAGCTTATTTTTGGCCCCTTTTTGGCCCCTAATTCCTTAACTGTTGGTACCATAACCCCCAAAATCAATCCCAACCTTCCTTTCGTGGTATTGAACCTTATGGTAAAATTTCATGGAGATCCATTCACTTAAACTAAAGTTAGAGTGCGAAAACCAATGTGTCTTCGGACGACGCCGGACGACGCCAGACGACGACGACGACGACGACAATTTTTTTAATTTACCTATTATGGTCCAATGCCCAAAATCAAAATACATGGTTAGATTCAGCATATCAAAGAACCCCATATATTCAATTTTTGTTGAAATCAAACAAAGTTTAATTTTGGACCCCAACTTGGACAAACTTGAAAACTGGTCCCATAATCAAAAATCTAAACACATGTTTAGATTCAGCATATCAAAGTACCCCAAGAATTCAATTTTTGTTAAAATCAAACTAAGTTTAATTTTGGACCCTTTGGACCTTAATGTAGACCAATTTAAAAAACAGGACCCAAAATTAAAAATCTAAAAACACGGTTAGATTTGGCATATCAAAGAACCCCAATAATTCAATTTTTGATGAAATCAAACAAAGTTTAATTTTGGACCCTTTTGACCTCAATATGAACCAATTTGAAAGCGGGCCCACAAAATAAAAAATCTAAATACATGGTAAGATTCAGCATATCAAAGAACCCCATATATTCAATTTTTGTTGAAATCAAACAAAGTTTAATTTTGGACCCCAATTTGGACCAACTTGAAAACTGGGCCAAAAATCTAAAATCTAAATACATGTTTAGATTCAGCATATCAAAGAACCCCATATATTCAATTTTTGTTGAAATCAAACAAAGTTTAATTTTGGACCCCAACTTGGACCAACTTGAAAACTGGTCCCATAATCAAAAATCTAAACACATGTTTAGATTCAGCATATCAAAGAACCCCAAAAATTCAATTTTTGTTAAAATCAAACTAAGTTTAATTTTGGACCCTTTGGACCTTAATGTAGACCAATTTAAAAAACGGGACCCAAAATTAAAAATCTAAAAACACGGTTAGATTTGGCATATCAAAGAACCCCAATAATTCAATTTTTGATGAAATCAAACAAAGTTTAATTTTGGACCCTTTTGACCTCAATATGAACCAATTTGAAAGCGGGCCCACAAAATAAAAAATCTAAATACATTTTCCGTTCTTTAACTTTAGTTTGCCTCAACCAAATGTTATGAAACTTATACACAATGCTTATTACTACAAAACTTAGATCAAGTACAAATTTGGGTAGCGTCACTTTTACCGTTCTTCAGTTATGTCCCTTTATAACTTTATATGATATGCAAGCTGGGGGAAAATCATCTTTGTCCCATGAACTAGCTGTCAGTAACTGTGAGTACTCTCAGATCTGTGCTAAGTGTCTTTTTGTTGTTGGGATGTACAAGTACCCGTCCACGTCCCGTTTGTGCTTTTGTTGGATGTATTTCTATTTGTATCCATCTGATGAGTTAAGCCTTTTTCAACTGATTTTTATATGACAGCAAACAAATTTTTTTTTGCGGTCTTATATTGGTATGACGTTGGCGTCGTCCTCGTCCGAAGACACATTGGTTTTCGCACTCTAACTTTAGTTTAAGTGAATGGATCTCTATGAAATTTTACCATAAGGTTCAATACCACAGAAGGAAGGTGGGGATTGATTTTGGGGGTTATGGTACCAACAGTTAAGGAATTAGGGGCCAAAAATAAGCATTTTTGTAACTTCCAGACATAACTTGTGTGTTAGTGTATGGATCTCTCTGACATTGTACCACAAGGTTCCATATCACAAAGGGAATGCTGGGATTGATTTTGGGGGTGATTGCCTCAAAATTTTAGGAATTAGGGGCAAAAAAGGGGCAAAAAACAAGCATTTTTCTAGTTTCATGACAATAACTTGTGTGTAAGTGTATGGATCTCTCTGACATTGTACCACAAGGTTCCATATCACAAAGGGAATGCTGGGATTGATTGTGGGGGTAATTGCCTCCAAATTTTAGGAATTAGGGGCCAAAAAGGGGCAAAAATCAAGCATTTTTCTAGTTTCATGACAATAACTTGTGTGTAAGTGTATGGATATTTATGAAATTGTACTACAAGGTTCCATATCACAAAGGAAAAGCTGGAATTGAGTTTGGGGGTAATTGCCCAAAATGTTTAGGAATAAGGGGCCAAAAATAAGCATTTTTCTAGTTTCCAGACAATAACTTGTGTTCAAGTGTATGGATCTCTCTGAAATTGTACTGCAAGGTACCATACCACAAAAGGGAAGGCTGGGATTGATTTTGGGGGTAATTCCCTCAAAATTTTAGGAATTAGGGGCCATTAAGGGGCAAAAACACAAGCATTTTTCTAGTTTCAGGACAATAACTTGTGTGTAAGTGTATATGGATCTTTATGAAATTGTACTGCAAGGTTCCATATCACAAAGGGAAAGCTGGGTTTGAGTTTGGGGGTAATTGCCCTAAATGTTTAGGAATTTTGGGCCAAAAAACAAGCATTTTTCTAGTTTCCAGACAATAACTTGTGTTCAAGTGTATGGATCTCTCTGAAATTGTACTGCAAGGTACCATACCACAAAGGGAAGGCTGGGATTGAGTTTGGGGGTGATGAATCATAAAAGGGTTCAAAAAATTTTGGGGGGTTCCTTTTTTTTCTTTAAAATTTTCCATTTTAAATTGGTTATTTCTGATTTATATATAAAAGCAAATAATAATTATATGGTTTGAATAGGTAAATTAAAATTTTTTAAGTTCTTAGACCACATTCATTCTGTGTCAGAAACCTATGCTGTGTCAAACATTTAATTACAATCCAAATTTAGTGCTGTATCAAGCTTGAATGTTGTGTCCATACTTGCCCCAACTGTTCAGGGTTCGACCTCTGCGGTTGTATCAAGCTGCGCCCCAGCGGAGCATTTTATTATAGTTTGTTCTTATGTTGAACTGTTACACCACTGTCCCAGGTTAGGGGAGGATTGGCGCCTTCAAATTAGTTTAACCCCACCACATTCTGTGTGTGCCTTTCCCAAGTCAGGAACCTGTAATTCAGTGGTTGTCGTTTGTTGCTGTGTTTCATATTTGTTTTTTCGTTCATTATTTTGTACATAAATTAGGCCACTAGTTTTCTTGTTTGAATTGTTATACATTTGTCATTTCCGGGCCTTTTATAGCTGACTATGTGATATGGGCTTTGCTCATTGTTGAAGGCCATACGGTGACATATAGTTGTTATTTTCTGTGTCATTTGGTCTATTGTGGAGAGTTGTCTCATTGGCAATCATACCACATCTTTTTTTCATATGATTGTACTTTAAAGTGTTTATAATTCCTGGACATTATATATTATTGCAGTGACTTCAAATTTCAACTGTTAACTAAATATTAAAAGTACGGAACAAATCAATAATTTACTTGAAAGGTCTCATGATGAACAAAAATGTACTTTTTTTACAAATAAATGAATCCGACCTGTTTTAAATTTTTCCCTTCAAAAATACATAAAAAAGCACTAAGTTTTGTCATATAAAACAATGCTTATTTAGAATTGATAGCCATTGCATCTCAAAAAATAAAACCCTTGCATAGTTTTTTTCTTTAATTCTTTCAGAGGTACAATTACATCCCCTTCTGGACTTCCACAGAAACTAGCAGTAACACATGAACCATCATGTTTGCCAGGAGCCATGACCAATATGACTATTTCTACAAGTCAAGCGTCAATGGTGCCTACATCCATGACACCACATATACAGACTATGACTGGATCAATGGGACCTCATGTTTCATCATTTACACAGAACCGTAGTCAAGGCTGTTATCCTCCTGAGTATTACCAAACTTGTCAGAGCACAGTTCCTATGATGGCAATGCCAAGAATGATGTCTTATGGTAAATGTTTTACACATTTTCGCTGAAATGTTAAAGCTGTGAAATATTTGTTCTGTTTCTTAGGTGCCACCAGTATTGTAGACATGTATAAGGGTTTATAAACAATGCTACAATCAAACCTGCTTTCAAAGACACCTCTTTGAAGCAAAAAACCTGTCTACCACATAGGGTCACCTTTTCTTGACCCTTTTTAGTAATAATTGTGCATTTTGAAATTGAATTAAAAGATCACCTCTCTTGTAAGACCAGTTTTCTCTGGTCCTATTGGTGACCTTTATACACAGGTTTTACTGTATTGGAATTTTTTTGGAGGGGTAAATAGTGTTCCCTAAAATATTTTAGTTAAGGCTGAATTGAAATCATCTGTTCATGTAAAAGGCATTCTTAAATGATGTTAAAAGAAATGTATACTGTGGATTATTGATTTTCCGGAGTTCAAATTTTGTTGTGGTGAGGGAAAATTATTTTCATCAACTTGATTTTATGGTTTTGAGAATTTCTGCAGACAAAGTCTGTACAAAACTTCCATTTTCCATTTTGTTGAACATTGAAATTTGTGGCTTGTCTATACCCAAAAACACAAGGCATGGTTTGTATGAAAGTTGAGGTCAACCCCAATTGTTAAAAACCACAACAAAAAATTATATTCAGTCAACATAAAGCAGTTTCATATTTTATAACCATTAAACAATTTTGTATGAGATGAATTTGCTAAAACATCAAAACTGGTATCTGCTACAGTAAACCACTATGTTTACTTTTGAAATGATGTAATTGTCTACCTTCCTTTGGTAGAAGTATTTTTTATGCCCACCTAGGGGCATTATGTTTTTTTCGGTCTGTGCGTCCGTTTGTTCGTCCGTCTGTCCCACTTCAGGTTAAAGTTTTTGGTCAAGGTAGTTTTTGATGAAGTTGACGTCCAATCAACTTGAAACTTAGTACACATGTTCCCTATCATATGATCTTTCTAATTCTAATGCCAAATTAAGAGTTTTGACCCCAATTTCACAGTCCACTGAACATAGAAAATGATTGTGCGAGTGGGCATCTGTGTACTATGGACACATTCTTGTTTCTTTCTAAAATAGCCTTCATATTTTATATTAAGAATCAATTTATGTAATATGAAATGCATGTGCTTGTATTTTTTAACTGGAGAGTTTTTTTTTAGGTCCAACATGTTATCAGCATCAAACAATGCCTCCAGGCTATCGCCCACCAGTTTATGGAATGATGCCACCTCAACAGTGTCCATACCAAACAGGTATGGAGTACAACATGGCTAGCCGATGTCCACCACAACAACAACCACCACCTCCATATCCTGGATCTTGTATATCCTATGACATGTGTCAGCAAGCTCACAGTAACCTGAACCCCTATGCTGAACCTTTTATGATTGGTCCACATCCATCTGGTCAGCAGTTCTGTTGTCACTCCGATGATCACAGATGTTTAGTTCCTCCTCACGGGCAGGTAGGTCACTGTCCAGTCAACATTTCTAAATTGAAGGGTAAGGGTAAACTGATTCATAAAATTGAAATGGAAACCTCCATATTTCTTTTTAAAACTACTTTTATTTGCATATTTTTGCAATAAACTTTTTTCATCGTTCCCATAAAATTTGGATTTTTTTTTATGGATGGGGGATTATTGCCCCTTTCTTGTCAAGCACAAAATTCTTGAATCTTTCCTTTGATATATTTTCTTATCATGCTGTAGTGATTCCTTTGAAATAAAAAAATATTTATTTTATTTGAAATTTATTTGAAAAAATGATAGGTTGATCCTACTGTTACCCTTCTTTTTAGAGCTTTGAAATATCTTCTGGCATTGCAGCGAAATGGTAAGTATGGGATATGTTGATGCCAGTGCATCGGCGGTTAAAAACTTTCCTTTGCAGCCTAAACACATCAACAAAAGAAAAATTCAAGTCAAGAAACAGAATATAGAGGATAGGAATAGGTAACAAAAAAAGTGTGCCTGTAGTTGTTAAAATATTGTTGGAATTTACTGACTGTTTTGTAAATAAAACTATCTAAATCTGAAACAGATTAAAACCTGTCTTTATTGGCATTTTTGTAGTAGAAAAACATAATGTACATAAGAAAACCGATGAAAAATGAGTCAATTTATTTTAACCCAAATATGCTTATTTCCTGATAATCGACCAAGGGTTGATAACAGATGCATTTTAAAATGTTAAAAGGATTAAGTGAGGATGATGATCTCTACAGGGTTTTTCCTGGAAATTTTTTGGTCATCACCTCACTTTTCCTTATTTGTGATAGTGCTCTGTTGTACATATGGTTGCTTAAATCAGAAAATAAGTATTTAAAAAAATAATGAGAAAATGAGTGAAGGAAATGGTAAAGACAGGATTTACAGACCTATATTTAAAATTCATTGAAATTATTGTAAAAATAATAGACCTAGCATATATTTTAGTATTTCAAATAAAAAGAATTTTCAATATTGAAACTAGTTTAAGATAAGAAAAAAAACTTGATTTTTACATAAACACAACGCTATGTCACTATGATATCATTCTTTATCGATGCTGGTGAGATATAGGCTATTGCGAAGTAACAATTCTTGCAATTACATTCAGTATGCCAAAATGTTTGTGAATTATTAAGTTAAAAAGAGTAGAATACAGCCTACTGCTCTTTGGTCGGGTTGTTGTCTCTTTGACATATTCCCCATTTCCATTCTTAATTTTACAAAATTACAAAATGAACTAAAATAATGTCTTACTTCATATTTTATGCCTATCAGATGGGGTTGAGAGAATAGCTTCTTTGATCATTTTAATTTCATGCATATCAGATCTGGGAAAACAGGCAGGGGGTAAGAGTAGGTTCTTGGGGGGGGGGGGGGGGGGGGCGGATTATCATATTTATCTCTAATTTCATATCAGTTTTTCAATATGACAATTTTTAGATTATTTTTTTTTATTTCGCAACAGAAATTTTTTATGATTACCTTGCAATTAATTTTACCTGACTATAGGGAGAAAAAAACGAAATCAAATCATAGTTAATGATTAAATTTGAAGAAATCCTGGGGATTAAAAATAATCCCCAAATAATTTTTTTATTTAAGCAAGGTTAAATATGAAGTAAGTTAAATTGCTTCGTTTACAAATTTCTTCTTTTTTTTAAGAGACTTGATAGGGTTTTAGTGGCATAAATTTTGTGTGTTTATGGAATTTTTTTTAAGTAATAACATTTGGTAACTTAATGTTTTTTGATACAAGACATTTCATATAATGTTTAACCATTTAAATTTCAAGAAAACTACTGAACAACAGTAAATTTCCACAATATTTCGTTCCAAAATATTTGTAACTATCACTTATTCTTGTTTGACACAATTGTACAAATAATGTGGCTTGTTTTAACTCACATAAAACTTGTGATCAGTAAACTCCCCACATTGTTTAAGTAAAACTTACTAATGTAAAAATTCGGGACTGATTTAAGTGCGTTTTCATATCTATACTGTTCATTGACTTTCATTGGCATGTAACTACAGGTATTTAATATCTAAAGAAGCTTGAAAAAAAAAGAAAGATTAAAATTAAGTACTGGACCTTAATTTTGCATTTACAAAAATGGTATAGGTTTCTGTAATAGAAACCATTCTTTAAACAATTTCTTAATTTCTGAATTGCTTAAGCTGTCTTTTAAGCAGTTGATTTATGTAAGTTCTGACTATGAAAGTTGATTCATCTTTGTTATAAATATATTTGTGTAAATTAGCTGAATAAATCGTTTTTCTTTGATATTCATATTTGTACAGAATAAGCCATAAATCAAAAATATCTTTAATTGTTGACTGCTCTTTTATTGAATTGTACATGTACCTACCGTAATCTGCTGCTTATAATCTGCACACCCTTTTTCTCAATGAGAATTCTTGTGTGAATCCTTTATGGTGTTTTCATAAATTAATGTTTGAAGGACCTTTAGTTAAAACAAACACATGCAGCAGTATGAATCACCAAATTGATTTATGCAATGCTATGAAAAGAAAGAAGGAGTTTGTAATGAAGCATTATATTATTATGTAAATAATATGGGATTTTAAAATTCAAATTGCATATAAATATGGATTAGGTAAATTATTAGAGTATTCAAAAAGAATATTGGCACCCCTACAATTTCAAGAACAAACATGACGAAACATAAACTAATTTTTCAAGTTCAAGTTTTCTCTTATTTCTTGCTTATAGTACTTTAAGAATGCGGATTATGCATGCCCAACTACGGTAGGTCAGATAGAGGTTACAGATTTTTCAAATCTCTCTAGGAATTATTAAAGTCAATAATCATGGTGGGGGAAATCAAAAGAGTTTTAAAACCTCTTCATTTATTATGGAACAGCACCATTTTATATTTTCATTTAAATATTTTATGGCTTACTCTAATGATAAAAGATGTTAAAATAACTTTTACTGATACAGGGATCATCAAAGTAAACAAAGAAGGCAAGCAGATTCTTTCTTTGCTTGGAAATGGTTGTATTTTGAGATTTTTTATCTCTCTATATTGTCCTGATAATAAAAAATCTTGATTTACTTCAGAAGTATGTTTTTGATATGCAGATATCGAAGAGTCAGGTATGGTTATTTGTTGTAATAAAAAGGTATGCCTAATATCATTGTATTTGTCAATCTTTATGGAATTCGTCCAAAAAAAAAGACAAAATCTTATTTCTGCCAGTAAGAGATTCATGGTAAACCTTGTCTAATTTTCTTGCAGGATGTTGTCTCTCCAGTACTGCACAGTCAACAAATTATTCCACAATTTCAGGTCGAAAGTATTCGGTACCATACAAATGAGGATACAGATGATTAGACTTAACTCCCTTTCACTTTCTAAACTTTAGAAATTATGTAAATTTCTGTTTTCAAATGAAAGCATCGGTCATGTGATGCTTGTGCATATTATATTCTTGTAGCAAAGACTGTTTTACCATTACACAGCAGCAGTAATCCTCTCTTATATGATCATCCCCTTCAATATCCAGGAAATGTAACTACAAAGTAGGGATTACTTCTTGTGTAGGGTTAAATCAAAATTAAAATAGTGCTCTTTTTATTATGAAAGAGGTCTTTCAAGAATTGATCTTTTTATTATGAAGAAGGTCTTGAGGTCTTTCAAGAGGATGTCCTTGTATGAAGAGACAGCTATAGAATAATGAGATTTCCTAAAAGAATACTCTTGCCAGTGGTCATTTCTATCAAGATTTCATAGAACTTTGTGTTGGTCTGGAAAGAACGGTACTAACGAGCTTGAATCCAAAAATTTTAAGAGATGGTAGGGCTTAAGGGCAGTGTTCTCCCTACAAATTTCATATAACGTCATGGTAAACAGCAAATTATGAAATACCATCTAGTTTCTAGAAATTTAAGCATCACATCCCTTACACTATAAGGACATCATTTCAGATAGCATCACATTTAAGCAATATAGCAGCACATTGCCATGATGCTAAAAGGCTGTGGGGAGAACATTGAAGGGGATTCCATCTGGAAAAAATATTCAATCTTATTTTTTTTTTAACAATGGGATTTTAAAAAAAATGAAGAAAGGGGTTCTAACCCAGGAAACCTCTTTTACTCTTGAAGCACTGATAGGTAATACTATGGTGGTTTGAATACAGCTGTGAAACACAAGAGCAATTTTTATTTCAGACTCTTTAATTCTTATTAGGATATAAATTGCACTAACCACTTTCAAAAAATTGTATGAGGTAAAGCAGTCTTTCCTGTTTTGTCAAATAACTATTAAGCCATTAAAAATTGATATGTATACTAGTGTGCTTAAAAAAATTATGAACCCATTCATTTCTGCAACCAAAAGGGGACTGGTGAACAGATTTAATCTTGGCTTCTTTCTGAAAATCTTTAAAGGCATTGTAAAAATTAGAAATTTATGCTTAGTTATTTGTAAATATTAGATTATTGTTCCATATATGTATTCTTTAATATATTGAGCACTTTTTAATGTTTTGTGTGAAGCATGCACCAATCAGAAAATGGAAACCTATGATAAATTGTATTCTGCTCGACCTTTCTAAAATTTTTTATGCGATAATTAAAAACAATTACTTGGTATGTTCTGTATGGGGCAAGCACTGAAATATTTGGGATAAAAAAGGTTCACAACAGAAATTCGGCTATCTCATGTCGATAAATATCATTAAAATTTAACTATTAAAAAGTGATAAATATCCTATTTTCAAACAGATTTTATAAAAGATTTTGAATTGAGTAGGTGTCTATCAAATTAAGTTCAGTTATGAAAGATCAGTTTGAGGGGGTTTGCAAACAGGAAATAATTTCCTGCTTGTCGTGTACATTTTCTGATTGTTGTGCATGAGAACTGTTTACATTTGTAAATGACATAATATTTTTATCAATTATGATATGTATATTTATATGTTTATCTGTAAGGTAACTAGTGCAAGGTCTATCAAATTTGATAGTTTATACTTGTGATTTTGAAGTGAAAAAAATTTAAAGCTGATAAAACAAAAGTGTTGTATATTAAGCAAAGTTTTACTCTTGATTCTAATATCTTGCTTTCTTGAGAATACTGTAAAAAGCTTGTTTTTGTACTTGTGTTCACACTTTTTAGAAGACTAATAATTCAAACTGATAACATCCTGAGAACGGAATCTCTAGTTTTTGAAAATGACATTAAAATGAAATTGAAATTTGTAGCAACACTTGAAATCCTTATAAATTTCAAGGCAAACCTTAAGTAAAAATTTTAGCTGTAAGAATTTTAGCCATCTCTATTATTAGTTGTTGATGTAAATTTAAGATAAATGGATACAAGTACATTTCCAAGTTGCTTATTTGAAAGGGTATGCTAGAAGCAGCAAGTTTGAGGTCTGGAATTTGGCTTAATAGAGTTCATCATTTCCCGCTTAAATGTAGCAATCTTTGGTTATAGAACTTTTTTTTAGTAAAACCTAACAGAAGTTTGAAAACTTCATATTAAGATTGGTAGCAAGTTAAAGACCCCAGACTTCTATTTTCAGCTCCATAAAGAAGGCCTTTTGTTTTTGAAAGCTTGGAATTAAATCAGTATTTTTTATTGTGAAATTCCTTTAACTTGTTACAACAGGAAAGAATTATACTTTTATCACAGAGTTTGTTAACCACATTGGAAAACATATTTCTAGATCTTTGCAGCAAAGATTATTAGAAATGAAAAGTATTGACATTTTTTTGCCTGTAATTGTTTTATATATACATTGTATATATCTAAATTTGTGTGTGTATTTATAATGATTATATAAATAATATAGACTAGACCTGAGGCTGTTGCACTAGTAAAACAATATCTCTCCAAATACTGAAACATAGTCATAAGCCTTTTTGTGAAACCAGTGTAAATTTAAGCTTTTAGAACTGAAGATTTTGCTTGGATTTCTACAGAATAAATCATTTGAATCTTAAAACTTGTGAATATATTTTGAACTGAAATGGGTACTTATTCTGAACAGATGTTATAAGACCGAATGAACATTGATTTATTAAGTCATGTTAAAAACAAATCAGTCTATTTTAAGACAATTAAAATCCAATAGATAAAGAAATATTATTACTTAAACTAAGAATTATACTGATCTTATAGATAGTGAAAGTAGCTGCTGAATTGAAATTGATTATATTAAGGTGACAAGTATATACATGTTGATATTGTGATATTTTATATTCACACAGAGTAAGAAATTTACATTACTTGATTATATTACACATAGAAAGGAAGTCTCTACCAATGTGAAAAATTTCTGTTGTAAATTAGATATATATATATCATGTATGTTTAAGCAGTTTCTATATAAATATTAGATGTACAGTTGTTTTACCGTAAATTTATAATAGTACCATGCAAAAAAGATTGTTGGTTTCCCCTAACACTGCAGGGTCTGTTTTTATCCCCCAGGGTCCTTTTTTTAACTGATGAAAAGAAAAGAGCAAGACTCTACAATCCTGTTCCCATTTTCCCCGAATGTGATCTACCGAATTAGATTTATCATCAGGTTTGCACTTGCACGAGCAACACGATGGATGCCACATGTGGAGCAGGATATGCTTACCCTTCCAGATAACCTGAGATCACCCCCAGTTTTTGGTGGGTTTGTGTTGCTCAGTCTTTAGTTTTCTATGTTGTGTTTTGTGTACTGTTGTTTGTCTGTTGGTCTTTTTCTTTTTTAGCCATGGCGTTGTCAGTTTATTTTTCAACTATGAGTTTGAATGTCCCTTTTTAGACATATTATCAATGATGCTTTAATTGTCTGATAAATTCTTGGAAAAAAATTCATTTGTAGCTTATATCACAATAGAGATCAAAATATAATGTCAAACAAGTTTTTTTTTTAATTTCCTGTCAGTGGTTTAAGAAAAGATTCTCTGTAGAGCAAAACTTCATGTGCCTCGTTAAATTTAAAAAAAACCCCCATAAAATAAAAAGTTTTTTCTGCTGCCGACCATATAAAATTTTCTTGTGTTGGGGGTAACCATCATTCAAATTTCAATGTCCTAGGTTCGTCGAATATATTCTTACACATATTCTTCGAAAACAGAAATACATAAGGAAAAAAACATGTTTTGTCTAAATTGGTACTTCTGAAAGTCTACAGCAGTTTACAGTTCTGTAAAGCAACCGAAAAAAAAAGTTCTGAAATGATCATTTATAGGTCTGAGTTCTTTTAAGATCTAAGATACATCCATTCTTCTTTAAGGCATTATTTTGACATATTAATCACTTGCACAATATTTATTATTCATTTACTTTACCATACAAAACAATCAATATATAGATTAGAATGCAAAATCTGTTGAACAATTACACTTAAAACATTCATAAAATTTTAAAACCATTGCTTTCTTCTTCATATTCTTGAATATAATTAAGTAGCATTAAAATTGATGAAAAACTGAATAAAATTGTACTGTCACAAAGTGGACATGAATGATAGGCTATGGTGAGCTCTATAGATATAAAGTGATCACAGATCTGGATAAGCAACATGAAGTATGTCCTCTGGTTTGAAATTTAAAATATTAATGTGGCCAAAAGCAACTTATTACTGCAAGGATTACTTGTGAATACACAGCTACTAATTTCTACAGTTTATAAAGACAAAAAACAAAAAAACTTTAGACACAAAATTTAAAACATCTATCACACACAAAAAATAACAGATCTCTGTACATCATGTGAAAATGTACATGTAATTATCTCATTACTACTGAGAAGTCAAAGAAAACAGGGAATTAATAAATACAGGAATAATATTGAAAAATAGAAAACCAGTTTAATATTTGGTCTCTGAGCTAACTCAACTTAGTAAGGCTAGCTGTACATACATTAATTATAAGGGTGCATGCATGGCTAACCCTCTTTTGGTCAGGGTTGTTTCAAAAATGAATTAGATAAAGTTTGATATTTCAAATTACAATTTTTTTTTATAGTTTTAAAGAAATCCTGGTTAAAACATGAAGACACATTTCATTGAGAATATTGTTTACACATTGTTTAAAATATACAACAGAAGTTAAATGTCTTGAACATGTAAAAGACAATGTATGATTTTTATGAGTTAACCAAGGGTTGATTGGAACCTCATCAGAACAGGAAAGGGCTATTCCAGAAATAATAAGAGCAAGAATTCCAATTCACATTATAATTTGTCACATTTTTTTGTCATTGTCAAAGAAGTGCAAAGATAAATGCAGGAATTAAATTCTTATTTTACAGTATGTTCAAATAATTAACAGTTCATTCATACATTTATTTGTGGAAAAGCCTGTTACTGAAATTTGCATTTGATAGTTGTAAAAAAAACCTACAGATCAAGTCATTAAAGGCAAAAGATTTGAAAGGTTTAGATAGAGGTTAGTAGAATATACTTATTTCTGTTGAATTGAAATGAAAATGTACTGTCTGGTTAGAAACAAAAAGCAGTGTTCTCCCCAGGTCCTTTTAGCATCATGGTAATGTGTTGCCATAATATTCTAGAAACAAGATGGCATTTCAAAGTTCCCCGTTTATAAGGATGCTTTGTGAAAACTATGGGGAGAACACTGCACAATGGATTGAGAAGGTTTGAAATTTAGATGTATGATATAATTTATTATGTGGGGAATTCTGCAACCAAATTAATGCAGAAATTTAATTATATGTTTATATAAGTAAATATTTAGTAAAAAGGTTAATTGTGTGCCAATATATGGTCTCATTTACTAATATTTAGGTAATCAATGAATCATTGTACAGGTATCCAATTTACAGGACTATGAATTGGCTATATGATATGTTATGAGTCAAATTTGAATAGGTGTTTCTGTTTTAAATTTCAGGCTCAGATTCTGACAAACTTGCATCAAAGAAGAACTGAAATCTTGACAAGGCTTCACAAATGTAATTCTACTACTAGCAAGAAAAGTTGGTCAGGGGCAGAGACAACTTTTGCAGAATGGGGCTCAGAGAAATCAATCGGTAGAATGACAGGATCGTCTCAGTCCATTCCTGATGCAGCTTCAGCTACAAAGATACCATCAGTGGCATCAAGAGAAACCCATTCAGGTATGAATGTTTAATGTCCACACTTAATTGATAGGCTTTTGTTGACTTTGATATTTGTCAAAATGTTTTGTTTATTACACTTTAGACACTTGTATCGTTTAAGCTTTAAAAAAAACAGTATGCAAACTGCAGGTTATGTAATTTTAAATCTATTTTGCAGATGAAGAAAAACAGACAAAAATTTGTGATACTAATTTCTGTTTGCCTGAAATGTTTTCTGGGATAAACTTCTTAAAGCTTGCTTGATACCAAAAGTTTGGAAAACCAAAAAAATTATACATTCAAGATCATAAAAATCTGAGAGACCTAAAGAGACCAGCCAAAACTGTCTTAAGTAGATATAAGAAGATGTGGTATGAGTGCCAATGAGACAACTCTCCTTCCAAGTAACAATTTGTAAAAGTAAACCACTATAGGTCAAAGTACGACCTTCAACACAGAGCCTTGGCTCACCGAACAGCAAGCTATAAAGGCCCCAAAAATGACTAGTGTAAAACCATTCAAACAGGAAAAACCAATCTTCTGTTTCCAAGAATTTGTGTTTGCATTTGATATGTGTGCATATTGTTTGAATTATATGTCAATTGATTATGTATATATAAAATAAGAAGATGTGGTATGATTGTCAATGAGACAACTCTCCACAAGAGACCAAATGACTCAGAAATTAACAACTATAGGTCACCGTACAGCCTACCTAAACTTAGGGTATATGCAAATGAAAGAATTTCCAAAAGCTACAAAATGAACAACAGTATTCTCCCCCAGGCACTGCGTTTTTCAATGCAATGTTGGAACTCCACTTTTGTATGAATTTGCTGAATTTTCAGTTTCCGTTCTCTAACTTAAGTTAGCCTCAACCAAATGTTATGTGACACCGAAGCGGAGGGGGCATTACGTTTTACCCTTGTCCGTCGGTACGTCCGTCTGTACTTCCCCAAATTGGTTTCTGTTCTCTTACTTTAGTTTGCCTCAACCAAATGTTATGAAACTTATACACAATGCTTATTACCACAAAATATAGATCAAGTTTCAATTTTGGTGGCATCACTTTAAACGTTCTAGAGTTATGCCCCTTTACAAATGGAAAAATTGCTGAATTTGTTTCCGTTCTCTTACTTTAAGTTAGTCTCAACCAAATGTTATGAAACTTATACACAATGCTTATTACCACAAAACACAGATCAAGTTTGAATATTGGGGGTGTCACTTTAACCATTCTAGAGTTATGCCCCTTTACAAATGGAAAAAATGCTGAATTTTCCATTTCCGTTCTCTAACTTAAGTTAGCCTCAACCAAATTTTATGAAACTTATACACAATGCTTATTACCACAAAATACAGATCAAGCTTGAACTTGGGGGATGTCACTTTTATTGTTCTAGAGTTATGCCCCATTACAAATAGAAAAATTTACTATCCTTCAGTTATGTCCCTTTATAACTTTATATGATATGCAAGAGGGGGCATCATCTGTCCCATGGACACATTCCCCATTTATTATCTTATGCTCTTGATAAAATAGATTTGGCCATATTCAGGAAATTAATAAATACATGAATTAGGTCTGGTTTTATGACATTAGATTTTGAAAGGTACAGCTGTGTCTGTCAGGTTTATACAATTATGTCCACATTTGTATTTTGAAATAGTATCAAAATTGGTTTATAGAATAATATTATTTTTAATAAATAATTTCTAGGTTGGGATAGTGATTACCAGAATTGGTCTATGGGTGATAATACATCCTCATCGTGGACTAAAAGTAAAGATACTCGTGTTGGATCCTCTGACATTGTGGCTGACTGTCCAGATGTTTGGAATGAGGTACGTTCATTCTTCAATTTTAATTCATTGTTTTTCTTCTAAATTTGTTTTGGAAAGTTGGATGTTTTTAGTTCTTATGTTTCTTTTGACTAAAACATCCAACAAATGGAGTATTTTTGATTGGTCGATTGTTGTTTGCCTCATGTTCAGTGGAAAAAATTTCATGTGCAGTGTATATTCAAGACAATAATATTTTGATATTTCATAGTTAAAAGAAACATTCTTAGTAAAAAATAAATTCAGCATAAATTAATTTCAAGAAATTTTACGCAACATAAAATTTTAATTGAAAAAACAACTTTCGACAGCTATGTTAAGGATATGAAAATATAGAGAAATGGATATATATGTCAACGAGACAGAAACCCAATGAGCAATAAAACCAAACGAAATCTAGAGGGCAACATACAATCTTCAACAATAGACAGGTGTCCGTACAAAATGTCTCTAAATCCTCAAGTCTTAAACGATGTCAATTTCACAGTGATGTTATTGGAGTGTGCCTAAATGCATTGAACTTAATTTTGAAATAGTTAATTTCTCTATTGGTGCATAATGACTTTAATAATGACTTAACTGATAAAATTAATATGAATCAATAAAATTAAGTTTTAGGTATAAATTGAAATAAGTATATAAAACTCAAATATGTGAATCTTTGTTTGTTTCTGATTTTCTGTTTTTGTTATGTTTTTTCATTCCTGTTGTTTTTTGCGTTTCTTGTTCAAATTGTAATTATCTGAAATTTATTATTCAGTGAATTTATAAACATTATTATCATTGAAATACTTGAATTTAACCAAGTCCTTTATATTTTATTTTTTCTATAGAAAATTGTGCTAGCTGTAAACCAAGGAAATGAACAAGATGTAAGACTAACCAACAAGGTTGTTTTTTTGATGGAACAAAAATTGGGGACCCTGTTCAGAAAAGGAGTTTCATATTGCCAAATCATACCTGCCAACTTTATAAAATCTCCATGGAGGATTTTAAGCACAAGAGGACCTAATGCATCTCTTGTCATAACAAGATTTTATTTTTATACACAATAGTTATAAATGAGTATAAATGTGCTTATATGCCATTTTGACTTCTTTGAATGTCTGTTTTGATGTTTTCAGTGTATTTACTGAAGGATTTCAAGAGTCAGATCAGCATATCTCATGGGGAAAAGTCCTTGATAAATGGAGAAAGTTGGCAGGTCTGCAAAATTAGTTCCAAGATTTATAGAATTCAATATCGTTCACTGTCAAATTTTCTACATAATAATTTAGTTGTACCCCTCTTTTAGAACAACCCACGGTTGATCCAAAATTTGAGTTCGAAAATTATCATAGGTAGTGACTTGTTTGTTCATTTTAGTAAAATCAGAGACATAACATTTAACCTCTCTTCTATGATACATTTTGATAAAGAAGTAATACAGAAACTTGGTTAATTAAGAAAATGTTTATAATATTTTTATTTATTCGTGTCTCACCTCATTTTTAGCTCACCTGGCCTGAAGGGCCAAGTGAGCTTTTCTCATCACTTGGCGTCCGTCGTCATCGTCATCCGTCGTCGTTAGCTTTATACAAAAATCTTCTCCTCTGAAACCACTGGGCCAAATTTAACTAAACTTGGCCACAACCATCATTAGGGTATCTTGTTTAAAAAATGTGTCCAATGACCCCGCCAACCAACCAAGATGGCCGCCATGGGTAAAAATAGAACATAGGGGTAAAATGTAGATTTTAGCTTATATCTCTGAAACCAAAGCATTTAGAGTTAATCTGACGTAGGGTAAAACTGATTATCAGGTCAAGATCTATCTGCCTGAAAATTTTCAGACAAATCTGACAACCTGTTGTTGGGTTGCTGCCCCTGAATTGTTTTTTTATACGGCCGCAAAAAAAATTTTGTGGTCGTATATTGGTATGACGTTGGTGTCGTCGTCGTCGTCCGAAGACGCATTAGTTTTCGCACTCTAACTTTAGTTTAAGTGAATGGATCTCTATGAAATTTTACCATAAGGTTCAATACCACAAAAGGAAGGTAGGGATTGATTTTGGGGGTTATGGTACCAACAGTTAAGGAATTAGGGGCCAAAAATAAGCATTTTCTAGTTTCCAGACAATAACTGTGAAACGGTGTATGGATCTCTCTGAAATTATACTACAAGTTTCCTTACCACAAAGGGATGGTTAGGATTTGCTTTGGGGGGTTATGGCTCAAACCGTTTAAGAATTAGGGGCAAAAAAAGGGGAAAAACAAGGTTGTCCTGGTTTATGGACAAATACTTTAGTACAAAACATAATTTAAAGCAGTGTAAGGGAGATAAATCAAATACATCATTGAAATTATCTCCCTTACACTGCTTTTAAATTATGTATAAATAATGGTTAATGAACAATTAAGAAAATTTAAAACAGTGTAAGGGAGGTAATCCAAATACAACGTTTTGGTTACTTCCCTTACACTGCTTTTAAATTATGTTTAAAGAAATGCATATTTATAAATGAAGACCAGTAAAAATATCTGCAAATGTTGCATCTTTTTTTTTTACAAAAAAATCCATATGAAAGATTTGACACTATATTTTAAATTCTATTATAAAATAGATTAAGTTAGCACTATGGTAAATTTAAATGGGTAATTATGGTTGCAAACTCCATTGGAAATTTGAATTGAGATTATGACAATATCTTGAGGGAAAGAATTTTTTGGGGGAAAAAAGGGGGGGGGGGGGGTAAAAAGAAATTGTGGGGGGTCATTTTTTTCTCATTTCAGATTTCAGAAATTAAAAAGAATAATCCTTCAAATATTATTTTTTTTTTCAAATTTCAAATATTGAAAGATTTCAAGAAGTAATCTTTTATTGCACAGTATGGCGCATTAGATTTGTAAAATCTTTGACCACATTTATTTATTTGTTATGCCGAATCTAACCGTGTATTTAGATTTTTAATTTTGGGTCCAGTTTTCAAATTGGTCTACATTTAGGTCCAAAGGGTCCAAAATTAAACTTTGTTTGATTTTAACAAAAATTGAATATATGGGGTTCTTTGATATGCTGAATCTAAACATGTATTTAGATTTTTGATTTTTGTCCCAGTTTTCAAGTTGGTCCAAATTGGGGTCCAAAATTAAACTTTGTTTGATTTCAACAAAAAATGAATATATGGGGTTCTTTGATATGCTGAATCTAACCATGTATTTAGATTTAGAAGACACATTGGTTTTCGCACTCTAACTTTAGTTTAAGTGAATGGATCTCCATAAAATTTTACCATAAGGTTCAATACCATGAAAGGAAGGTTGGGATTGATTTTGGGGGTTATGGTACCAACAGTTAAGGAATTAGGGGCCAAAAATAAGCATTTTTGTAACTTCCAGACAATAACTTGTGTGTAAGTGTATGGATCTCTCTGACATTGTACCACAAGGTTCCATATCACAAATGGAAGGCTGTAATTGATTTTGGGGTAATTGCCTCAAAATTTTAGGAATAAGGGGCCAAAAAAGGGGCAAAAAACAAGCATTTTTCTAGTTTCATGACAATAACTTGTGTATAAGTGTTTGGATATTTCTGAAATTGTACTACAAGGTTCCATATCACAAAGGGAAAGCTGGAATTGAGTTTGGGGGTAATTGCCCGAAACGTTTAGGAATTGGGGGCCAAAAAGGGGCCAAAAATAAGCATTTTTCTAGTTTCCAGACAATAACTTGTGTTCAAGTGTATGGATCTCTCTGAAATTGTACTGCAAGGTACCATACCACAAAGGGAAGGCTGGGATTGAGTTTGGGGGTGATGAATCATAAGGGGGTTCAAAAAATTTGGGGGGGGAATTTTTTTTTTTTCTTTTTTTTTCTTTTTTTCATTTTTTTGTCGAGCCTGCAACTTTTGTCGCAGAAAGCTCGACATAGGGATAGCGATCCGGCGGCGGCGGCGGCGGCGGCTACGGCGGCGGCGGCGGCGGCGTTAGCTAACTTCTTAAAAGCTTTATATTTTAGAAGATGGAAGACCTGGATGCTTCATACTTTGTATATGGATGCCTCATGTTACGAAGTTTCCGTCAGTCACATGTCCAATGTCCTTGACCTCATTTTCATGGTTCAGTGACTACTTGAAAAAAAAGTTCAGATTTTTTGTAATGTTAAATTCTCTCTTATTATAAGTAATAGGATAACTATATTTGGTATGTGCGTACCTTGCAAGGTCCTCATGCCCGTCAGACAGTTTTCACTTGACCTCGACCTCATTTCATGGATCAGTGAACAAGGTTAAGTTTTGGTGGTCAAGTCAATATCTCAGATACTATAAGCAATAGGTCTAGTATATTCGGTGTATGGAAGGACTGTAAGGTGTACATGTCCAACTGGCAGGTGTCATCTGACCTTGACCTCATTTTCATGGTTCAGTGGTTATAGTTAAGTTTTTGTGTTTTGGTCTGTTTTTCTTATACTGTATGCAATAGGTCTACTATATTTGGTGTATGGAATGATTGTAAGGTGTACATGTCTAGCTGGCAGGTGTCATCTGACCTTGACCTCATTTTCATGGTTCAGTGGTCAAAGTTAAGTTTTTGAGTTTTGGTCTTTCTTTCTAATACTGCATGCAATAGGTCAGCTATATTTGGTGTATGGAATGATTGTAAGGTGTACATGTCTAGCTGGCAGGTGTCATCTTACCTTGACCTCATTTTCATGGTTCAGTGGTCAAAGTTAAGTTTTTGAGTTTTGGTCTTTTTTTCTAATACTATATGCAATAGTTCAACTATATTTGGTGTATGGAAATATTTTATGATCTATATGTCAGTCACGCAGGTTTTATTTGACCTTGACCTCATTTTCAAGGTTCATTGCTCAGTGTTAAGTTTTTGTGTTTTTGTCTGTTTTTCTTAAACTATAAGCAATAGGTCAACTATATTTGTTGTATGGAAGAATTGTTAGCTGTACATGCCTGCCTAGCATGGTTCATCTGACCTTGACCTTATTTTCATGGTTCATTGGTCAATGTTTAGTTTACTTGGTTAATGTTAAGTTTATGTGACAGTTGTAATAAAGCTTTATATTTAGGACTATCAACATAATATCAATGATTAGTAAAGAAGGCGAGACATTTCAGCGTGTGCACTCTTGTTTTTTCTTTTTAAATTTTCCATTTTAAGTTGGTTATTTCTGATTTATATTTAAAAGCAAATAATAATGATATGGTAGGACATACACACCAAACAGGATGTGTAAATTATTATATAATAAGTATTGTGCAATAGCAAGAAATTTTCAATTGCATTGCACAATAGCAAGAAATCTTCAATTGCACAGTATTGCGCAATAGCAAGAAATCTTCAATTGCACAGTATTGCGAAATAGCAAGAAATATCCAATAGCACAATATTGCGCAATAGCAAGAAATTGTCAATTGTACAGTATTGCGCAATAGCAAGAAATATTCAATTGCACAGTATTGTGCAAAAGAAGATACTTCGTATAAATTGCTTATTTCTTGATCAATTTCAATGGGGTTTTATTCTTGAATTCTTGGGGTTCTTTAATATACTGAATCTAACCGTGTATTAAGTTTTTGGATTTTTGGCCCCGTTTTTAAATTGGTCCACATTGAGGTCCAAAGGGTCCAAAATTTAACTTTGTTTGATTTCATCAAAAATTGAATTATTGGGGTTCTTTGATATGCCGAATCTAACCGTGTATTTAGATTCTTAATTTTTGGTTCCGTTTTCAAATTGGTCTACATTAAGGTCCAAAGGGTCCAAAATTAAACTTAGTTTGATTTTAACAAAAATTGAATTTTTAGGGTTCTTTGATATGCTGAATCTAAACATGTATTTAGATTTTTGATTATGGGCCCAGTTTTCAAGTTGGTCCAAATCGGGGTCCAAAATTAAACTTTGTTTGATTTCAATAAAAATTGAATATATGGGGTTCTTTGATATGCTGAATCTAACCATGTATTTAGATTTTTGATTTTTTGGCCCCGTTATCAACTTTGTCCACATTGAGGTCAAAAGGGTCCAAAATTAAACTTTGTTTGATTTCATCAAAAATTGAATTCTTGGGGTTCTTTGATATGCTGAATCTAACCATGTATTTAGATTTTGGATATTGGACCATAATAGGTGAATGTCCAATTTAAAATTTTTAAGTTCTTAGACCACATTCATTTTGTGTCAGAAACCTATGCTGTGTCAAATATTTAATCACAATCCAAATTCAGAGCTGTATCAAGCTTGAATGTTGTGTCCATACTTGCCCCAACTGTTCAGGGTTCGACCTCTGCGGTCGTATCAAGCTGCGCCCTGCGGAGCATTTTATTGATTATGGGACCAGGTTTCAAGTTTGTCCAAGTTGGGGTCCAAAATTAAACTTTGTTTGATTTCAACAAAAATTGAATATATGGGGTTCTTTGATATGCTGAATCTAACCATGTATTTTGATTTTGGACATTGGACCATAATAGGTAAATTAAAAAAATTCAAGTTCTTAGACCACATTCTTTCTGTGTCAGAAACCTATGCTGTGTCAAATATTTAATCACAATCCAAATTCAGAGCTGTATCAAGCTTGAATGTTGTGTCCATACTTGCCCCAACTGTTCAGGGTTCGACCTCTGCTGTCGTATCAAGCTGCGCCCAGCGAAGCATTTTATTTTAGGAAATTTTGCAGTTTTTGGTTATTATCTTGAATAATATTATAGATAGAGATAAACTGTAAACAGCAATAATGTTCAGCAAAGTAAGACCTACAAATAAGTTGTCATGACCAAAATTGTCAGTCGACCCCTTTAGGAGTTATTGCCCTTAATAGTCAATTTTTAACAATTTTTCGTAAATTTTTGTAATCTTTTACAAAAATCTTCTTCTCTGAAACTACTGAGACAAATTTAACCATACTTGGCCATAATCATTATTAGGGTATCTAGTTTAAAAAATTTGTCCGAAGAACCTACCTTCCAACCATCATGGCCAACTTGGTTAAAAATAGAACATAGGGGTAAAATGCAGTTTTTGGTTTATATCTCTGAAACTAAAGCATTTAGAGCAAATCTGACAGGTGGCAAAAATGTTCATCAGATTTAGATTTATCTGCCCTGAAATTTTCAGACGAATCTGACAACCCGTTGTTGGGTTGCTGCCCCTGAGTTAGTATTTTTACAAAAATTTTGCAGTTTTTATTTGTTATTATCTTAGATATCATTATAATATCTAATACTATTAATTATGATTTTAACCTTATTTTACGTGATTTCCAAAGCATCAGTAAATACAGGTGAGCGACACAGGCTCTTGAGAGCCTCTAGTTTCAACTTTCATAATTTACAATTTGTTCCAAATACAGATCTTATGTCCTTGTTCCATTTGCAAGGATTAAGTGGTGCTCCATTTCTAATTTCTTTCCTGATAACTATGTTGTCAACCAATGAAATTTCTCCATTTCTAATTTCTTTCCTGATAACTATGTTGTCAACCAATGAAATTTCTCCATTTCTAATTTCTTTCCCGATAACTATGTTGTCAACCAATGAAATTTCTCCATTTCTAATTTCTTTCCTGATAACTAAGTTGTCAACCAATGAAATTTCTATCTCCAAGATTTTAAGGTATGTATAATTACAACAAATCAAAATTATCCCTTAAAGGTCTTTAGAAATGAAAGTAAAACAATGTCAGATCAATGTTAGGGAATATAAAAAAAGATGTTATGCCTTTTTACCAATGGAAAAATTTCTGAATTTTTTTGTTTTTGTTCTCTCACTTAAGTTTGCCTCAACCAAATGTTATGAATCTTATACACATTGCTTATTACCACAAAACACAGATCAGGTTTGAATTTTGGTGGCATCACTTTTACCATTCTAGAGTTGTGGTCCTTTATAATGTTATATGCAAGCAGGGGCATCATCTGTGTCCCATGGACACATTCCCCATTTATTTTTATAATAAACTTTATTTTCTTTTACTCAGATTGTATGCATATCTAATTCTTAAAAGAAATGACGGTAGATTTATAAGAAATGAATATTAAACAATTTTTTTATAGTTTTGACATTGTTGGGGAATTGAACCAATAGAATAATCAATAGATATTTTCAAATATTTCTTTACATTTCAAGTACAGGCTAATGAGGTCACTGTGAATAGACATCAATGTTATAGCCGTCAAAGTCTGTTTTATATGATAAGAGTTTTATGATTAGCAGTTAATTGCATTGGGCTGCACATTGACACCTATTGTTTACCAGTTAATTGCATTGGGCTGCACATTGACACCTATTGTTTACCATTTTATTTTTTTATTTCCTCCCCGATTGGTGAAAGTTGATTTTCTGACAGCGTCGTCTGAAGACATTTGGTTTCCGGTAAAAAAGAAATTGTGAGGGGGTGACAATTTTTTCTCATTTCGGATTTCAGAAATTCACAAAAGCAAAAAATTGAATATAAATTCAAATCATATAACCAATTCTAAGTTCTTTGACTACAATTATTCTGTGTCAGAAACCTATTATGTGTCAAATATTTAATTACAATCCAAATTCAGACCCTGTATCAAGCGCGAATATTTTGTCCATTTTTGCCCCAACTGTTCAGGGTTGGACCTCTGCTGTCGTATCCAGTTGCTCTCCTCGAAGCAATTTATTATTAAGTATTGTACAATAATTTTAATTTCCATTTACTAATACTCTAATACTTGATTTTAAGATTGAAGCAATCAGCTTTTTACATTTTTATTAGAATGTTTATGATGCAATATATGTTTCAGTTTTATTAATTCAATATTTAGTTTTCAGATTAATGTAGGTTTGTATTTATTAAGACTTTTTAAACTAGCATCCAGAAGGATGCTTGGTTTTTTTAAACAAATCAAGAGAACAAATACTTTGATTTTCTGTAATCATGACAACTATTTTCAACTGGACCAAGTCTATTTGTGCAATAAAACATATTTAAAACTTTGGACCTTAGACCTAGATATTTGCCATCCTTTGCAATTCATACTTTTAAATATTTCCTTTTTTTAGACTGGTTCCGATACCACAGATTTCATGTTGAACTGGTTAAAGGATATACCAGATGACCCAATGCCAGTGGAGCAAGTTCCTATTCCCATGCAGAAAATCAGTAAAACAAAGAGAACTGTATTCCAGTCTTCTGAGAGAAAATCTGTATACGCTCCAGCTACAAGTTACCACCAGGATTACCAAACGATGGCAGAAAAAAATGTCAAGGGAGATATTAATGAGGATGAGGATGATATAGAGATAGATTACAGGTAAGGAGGTTGTTTTACTTCATTATTAAACACATTTTGATATACCACTGCTGCAAAGGAGGGGTATACTAGTTTACCTCTTCTCCTTAACACTGTTAGCTATGGTTATGGCAGTGTTCTCCAGAGGGCCTTTTAGTATCATGGTAATGTGATCCTATCTGATATGATTTCCTTATAGATTGTGTTATGGCTGTTATGCTATTATTTTTAGAAACAAGATGGTATTTCAAAATTTCCTGTTTATCAGAATGCTTAATGAAATTTGTGGAAGGTACATATATTTTGCAGAGAATAAGACTTACATTTTCTGACTAGGGGCCCAACCTGCCATATGAAAATTAATGTAAGCACTATGGACATTTTCATAAAAGTTTTAGGGGCCCAACCCAATTTTCAGTAGCATTGGCTACTGGGCCCCTGCTAATCTTTTTCCCTGGCTTATTGCTCTTTCTTCTAAATTTTTATGAAACGTCATTGAAAAACTCTTTTCTTTTTAGGAGGTTATCAATTGCATCGGATGGAGATGACATCATTATACCATTTGACTCAAAACCTATCGTTTCAAAGTTTGGGCCAATCAGTAGGGTCAAACCCAAGCTACAGAAGTCGACTGATCCTGTTCAAGCTACTGCTGACGAGGTTTGTATCATGAGGCTATTTGTGACTTTTCAGAAATTTTCTTTAATTTATGCCCCCGCCGTACCGGAGGGGGCATTAAGTTTTACCCTTGTCCGTCCGTATGTACGTACGTCCGTAGGTACGTCCCAAAGTTGGTTTCCAATCTCTAACTTTAGTTTGCCATAACCAAATGTTATGAAACTTATACACAATGCTTATTACCACAAAACACAGATCAAGTTTGAATTTTGGTGATGTCAATTTAACCTTTCTAGAGTTGTGCCCCCTTACAAATGAAAAAATTGCTGAATTTTTGGTTTCCGTTCTCTAACTTTAGTTTGCCTCAACCAAATGTTATGAAACTTATACACAATGCTTATTACCACAAATGCAAATCAAGGTTGAATTTTGGTGGTGTCACTTTTACTGTTTTAGAGTTATGCTCCTTTACAAACGGAAAAATTACTGAATTTTTCGTTTTCGTTCTCTAACTTAGTTTGCATCAACCAAATATTATGAAACTTATACACAATACTTATTACCACAAAACTTAGATCAAGTATAATTTTGGGTAGTGTCACTTTTACTGTTCTTCGGTTATGTCCCTTTATAACTTTATATGATATGCAAGCGGTGGCATCATCTGTGTCCCATGGACACATTCCCCATTTATTTTATAAAATGATATCCAGTGTAAAGTAAAGAGTTTAAAATGTGAAGTTCTTGAAACAAAACTAAAAAACCAACTCAGTTAACTTATAGTCACTAGCTTTGCTCGTTGGGTGATGGAGGATAATATATAATTCAAAGTATTAATCTAATTTAACGCTCAAATACAGAAATATGGATAGCAATGTTTTATTGAAGTATGCAGATTCAACTTTTAAATCTGTATATGGATGAAATTTGAAAGAAAGAAAAAACCAGCTGAGCCAGTGTAATAAGATTAATTTACTTCAAATTTAACAGTGTTGTTGTGCAATTTTGATATGTCCAAGGTTATACTCCTGCAAGTTTTTCTGCAGTGCCAGATTACTGACCTGATGGAATGCCCTCTTCAATATTTCATTTTATTCTTTCAACAATTTCAGTATGCATATAACAAGTGTATCTTGCGCTTCTGGCGCAGCTGTTGGATTAAAAAAATATGTATAACCCTAAACAAAAGAATTTTACAGTAATAGCTCAGTATTTTAACATATTTTGTTTATAACTAGAATTCAATTGCCTTTTTTTAATTTCTAGTTTTTTAGTCTTTAATGTATTGAATAGTAAACTGTCATTTCGTTGTTTTCCTTGATGGTGTCTCTATTCAACTTATAGTTTTTGTCGAGCCTGCGACTTTTGTCGCAGAAAGCTCGACATAGGGATAGTGATCTGGCAGCGGTGGCGTTAGCTAACTTCTTAAAAGCTTTATATTTTAGAAGCTAGAAGACCTGGATGCTTCATACTTTGTATATAGATGCCTTATGTTAGCAAGTTTCCGTCTGTCATATGTCCATTGTCCTTGACCTCATTTTCATGGTTCAGTGACTACTTGAAAAAAAAGTCAACATTTTTTGTAATGTTAATTTCTTTCTTGTTATGAGTAATAGGATAACTATATTTAGTATATGCGTACCTTGCAAGGTCCTCATGCCCGTCAGACAATTTTCATTTGACCTCGACCTCATTTCATGGATCCTTGAACAAGGTTAAGTTTTTGTGGTCAAGTCCATATATCAGATACTATAAGCAGTAGGTCTACTATATTTGGTATATGGAATGATTGTAAGGTGTACATGTCCAACTGGTAGGTGTCATCTGACCTTGACCTCATTTTCATGGTTCAGTGGTCAAAGTTAAGTTTTTGAGTTTTGGTTTTTTTTTCTAATACTATAGGCAATAGGTCAACTATATTTGGTGTATGGAAATATTTTATGATGTACATGTCAGTCTCGCAGGTTTTATTTGACCTTGACCTCATTTTCACGGTTCATTTCTCAGTGTTAAGTTTTTGTGTTTTGGTCTGGTTTTCTTCAACTATAAGCAATAGATCAACTATATTTGTTGTATGGAAGGATTGTAAGGTGTATATGTCTGTCTGGCAGGTATCATCTGACCTTGACCTCATTTTCATTGTTCATTGGTCAATGCTAAGTTTTCATGGTTATGTTTGTTTCTTAGATACTATAAGCAATAGGTCAACTATATTTAATGCATACATTGATTGTAAGGTGTACATGTCTGACTGGCATGGTTCATCTGACCTTGACCTCATTTTCATGGTTCATTGGTCAATGTTAAGTTTTCTTGTTTAAGATTGTTTCTTAGAAACAATAAGCAATAGGTCAACTATGTTTGGTTTATTGAATGAGTGTAAGGTGTACATGTATTTCTCGTTTGGTTTATCTGACCTTGACCTCATTTTCTTGGATCATGTTAAGTGTATGTGTTACTTGTAGTAAAGCTTTATATTTAGGACTATCAACATAAAATCAATGGTTAGTAAGGAAGGCGAGACATTTCAGCGTGTGCACTCTTGTTATTCTCCCTATGGTATCTTTTGCCCCTTTTGTACAATCATAGTGGATTAACTTAACCTGTAACACCTTTAAAGTTGCTTTACAATCAAATATAGTTGACCGTAGTATTATTTTACATTTAAATATATGACAGAACATGGTGACATCAGTGACATCATCATTAAACAGGAAGCCTCAGGTCTACCCTACAAATCGTGTAGCCAGCAGAACAGTAAACCAACCAATCAGTGCTGTATTAGATGAAGATAATGCTTCAGCTTGTACAGGATACTCCAGAATAGTCAAGTAAGTATGGTTAAATATTGTGAATAATTGATTTCCTTGTTTTGAAAAAATAAAAAAGAATCCCAATTGACCCTCTTGTTTTATGAATAGAGAATTGAAGTTAACAGTCATATATTTTTTGGTATTACTTGGTTCTTGGTCTCAATGAATAATGTTACATTTATCCCATTCAAGTATTTTAATATTCTGATGATATTGATATGAATACTCACTAATTTATTGATGTTTTGAATTTGATTGTTTTTGCAGCTATCCTCCAAATGTAAAGTCTTGTGTGAAAAAAGAGATTGCCCGTTTAGAGGAGAAAGCCCTTAATGCCAATACAGAAGATGAATGGTTGGCTTGTGAACTACAAGCTGTTGAGCTTCAAATATCATTGGTGAGTAGGGACTCTGCTTGTGTTTATCTATTTTTTCTCTATTTTAAAGCTGGTAATCCTTCCTTCAACAGATTAAAACTTGGAATAGATATATAAAACGAGAACAAAAAAGATACTGGTATTTATTTTTTGGTTTATAGTAGAATTGTTAAATTTAACAAGTGTATTCTCATGTTGGTGTTTCATTGTTAAAGTATAGTATTTTATTCATGTATTTGTTTAAATAAGCAAAATGATGAAGCAGTGCTTTGGTTTACTCTGCTGTTTATTTTTTTCAGACAAATAAATCAACTGCTAACTTAACAAGTGAAGATTTAACTGGGACTAAACACTGGGCCAAGTATGGATATGACAGTCCACAAGCTGGATATACGGTAACCAAATTGTTTCTTTAAGAATCCAAATTGGTTTATACTTAAGAATTAAATATTCAAAGCAAAAAAAAAAAAAACAGATCCATTCTGGATCACAAGCCCAAACCACACCCTTTTCGGTTATTTTTTGACCACATGGTCGTACATAACCCATTTTTTGTTCAGGTTTTTGCTGGTACAACCTCTGAATCTTTATTACATTGAAAATAATACAGATGGGATAGGTGGTTTGTTGCAGTCTCATTGATGTATACCAACACACAAGTCTTAATAGTAGAAGTGTTATACATATAAATGGAATGGGATACAGCAACGCAATAACAAAACCACATTAGACTGTCCAAGGTGTCATATGATCTTCAGCTATAAACAAGCACCAAAGCTGATGGCAAGCTCTTAATTGCCCGAGTCTCAAAAGGTTTTGAATAAATTTTGTCCTCAAGTTACTGGTTTTATTTTTCACCTGTGTAAATTATATACCTTTGTCAAAAGGTATTTGTACTTGCATTTAGTGTGTGGAACAATTTTCAAAAGACTAATTTTCTTCTGAAAGATAAATTATGTAAATAGCAATAGCGTTAAAAGAATTTATAATTTTTTTTTGTGATTTTAGGGGGCAAAAAATGGCACTTATGAACCTCGTCCTTATTATTGCTGTTTTCAACATTTTCTACATGCCACTGGAGAAGCAAGTAAATAAAAATTTGTACTTTCAAGAAAATATTTCTATTCTTGAATTCAAACTTTCATGGTATGTAAAAACAATGTTATGTCCTTTGGTTTTTGGGTAAAGATTGCTTGAAATGCAATCAAAACCCTATGGTACTGACTTGATATCTATGTCTACCAAGGTTGATCACTACCTTTGATATTTCAAACAAAATAGTGCAGTGAAGTGATCATTATTTGGTTTCTATCTAGCCAATGTCATTCAATTTATTGATGTTATGTTATACTTTATATTTAAGTTACAATGTGATGTGTATTTGAATAATGTACTTGTCAAGAAAACATTTTTTTTTATTAATAATTACATAAGTAATGCATGGTTATACATGGTTACACTAGTAATTTTTGGGGCTTTTATAGCTTGCTGTTCGGTGTGAGCCAAGGCTCCGTGTTGAAGACTGTACTTTGACCTATAATGGTTTACTTTTATAAATTTTGACTTGGATGGAGAGTTGTATCATTGGCACTCATACCACATCTTCTTATATTTATGGTGTATGAATCTGTTATAAAAATAGGTTCAACTACAAATGTACAAAGGAACAAGAACAAAAGAAGATAACTCTAACTCAATTTTTTTTAATTTGCCTAGCAAAATACAATTTTAATGTTTTATTTAAAAATTCACAAAATTGAAAAATGAAAGCAATCTTTATCTTTCAGTGCTCACAAGCACTTTAATTAAATTGATGGATTCAGACTTAACTAATAACAAATCAATGGACAATATAAATTTCTTTGTGACCTTGATGAACCTTGATTATTAGAATCGTGCCAACACCCCCACTTTTGACTTGATTTGTTGCTGATGGTTGAAACTTTCTGTTTAATGTATTCACAACTTTTAGAGACTCCTGACAATTAAGTGCTTAACAAATTGTAAAGACACCTGTCTTTTGTTGCCCTCTAGATGTCTTTTGGTTATTTTTGTCATTGGGTTGCTGTCTCTTTAACATGTACCCAACATCCCCTTTATAGCTCACCTGTCCCAAATTGCCAAGTGAGCTTTTCTCATCACTTGGCGTCCGTCGTCATCGTCCATTAACTTTAACAAAAATCTTCTCCTCTGAAACTACTACACCAAATTTAATCAAACTTGGCCATAATCACCATTGGGGTATATAGTTTAAAAAATTTGTCTGATGATCTCGCCTGTCTACCAAGATGGCCGACATGGCTAATAATAGAACAGAGGGGTAAAATGCAAGTTTTGTCTATTAAATATCTAACGGTAGATAAAATCTGACAGGGGCAAATATGTTCAGAATATTGAGCTCTACGATTTGTCCATTTATGTCAAAACTGTCAGGTGACTTCTTATAGGAGGTATTGCCCTTAAATGACAAATTTTAACATTTTTTCATTTTTATACGACCGCAAAAAAATTTTCCTGGCGTCGTCCGGCGTCGTCCGAAGACACATTGGTTTTCGCACTCTAACTTTAGTTTAAGTGAATGGATCTCTATGAAATTTTACCACAAGGTTCAATACCACAAAAGGAAGGTTGGGATTGTTTTTGGGGGTTATGGTACCAACAGTAAAAGAATTAGGGGCCAAAAAGGGGCCAAAAATAAGCATTTTTGTAACTTCCAGACATAACTTGTGTGTTAGTGTATGGATCTCTCTGACATTGTACCACAAGGTTCCATATCACAAAAGGAATTCTGGGATTGATTTTGGGGGTAATTGCCTCAAAATTTTAGGAATTAGGGGCCAAAAAAGGGGCAAAAAACAAGCATTTTTCTAGTTTCATAACAATAACTTGTGTGTAAGTGTATGGATCTTTCTGAAATTGTACTACAAGGTTCCATATCACAAAGGGAAAGCTGGAATTGAGTTTGGGGGTAATTGCCGAAACGTTTAGGAATTGGGGGCCAAAAAGGGGCCAAAAATAAGCATTTTTCTAGTTTCCAGACAATAACTTGTGTTCAAGTGTATGGATCTCTCTGAAATTGTACTGCGAGGTACCATACCACAAAGGGAAGGCTGGGATTGATGATGGGGGTAATTGCCTCAATATTTTAGGAATTAGGGGCCAAAAAGGGGCAAAAAACAAGCATTTTTCTAGTTTCAGGACAATAACTTGTGTGTAAGTGTATGGATCTTTCTGAAATTGTACTACAAGGTTCCATATCACAAAGGGAAAGCTGGGTTTGAGTTTGGGGGTAATTGCCCTAAACGTTTAGGAATTTGGGGCCAAAAAGGGGCCAAAAAACACATTTTTCTAGTTTCCAGACAATAACTTGTGTTCAAGTGTATGGATCTCTCTGAAATTGTACTGCAAGGTACCATTCCACAAAGGGAAGGCTGGGATTGAGTTTGGGGGTGATGAATCATAAGGGGGTTCAAAATATTTGTGGGGGGGGGGATTTTTTTTTTTTTCTTTTTTTTTTCTTTTAAAATTTTCCATTTTAAGTTGGTTATTTCTGATTTATATTTAAAAGCAAATAATAATGATATGGTAGGAGATACACACCAAACAGGATGTGTAAATTATTATATAATAAGTATTGTGCAATAGCAAGAAATTTTCAATTGCGCAGTATTGCACAATAGCAAGAAATCTTCAATTGCACAGTATTGCGCAATAGCAAGAAATCTTCAATTGCACAGTATTGCGCAATAGCAAGAAATATCCAATAGCACAATATTGCGCAATAGCAAGAAATTGTCAATTGTACAGTATTGCGCAATAGCAAGAAATATTTAATTGCACAGTATTGTGCAAAAGAAGATACTTCGTATAAATTGCTTATTTCTTGACCAATTTCAATGGGGTTTTATTCTTGAATTCTTGGGTTTCTTTAATATGCTGAATCTAACCGTGTATTTAGTTTTTGGATTTTGGGCCCCGTTTTTTTAATTGGTCCAAATTGAGGTCCAAAGGGTCCAAAATTAAACTTTGTTTGATTTCATCAAAAATTGAATTATTGGGGTTCTTTGATATGCCGAATCTAACCATGTATTTAGATTCTTAATTTTTGGTTCCGTTTTCAAATTGGTCTACATTAAGGTCCAAAGGGTCCAAAATTAAACTTAGTTTGATTTTAACAAAAATTGAATTCTTAGGGTTCTTTGATATGCTGAATCTAAACATGTATTTAGATTTTTGATTATGGGCCCAGTTTTCAAGTTGGTCCAAATCGGGGTCCAAAATTCAACTTTGTTTGATTTCAACAAAAATTGAATATATGGGGTTCTTTGATATGCTGAATCTAACCATGTATTTAGATTTTTGATTTTTGGGCCGCGTTTTCAACTTTGTCCACATTGAGGTCAAAAGGGTCCAAAATTAAACTTTGTTTGATTTCATCAAAAATTGAATTCTTGGGGTTCTTTGATATGCTGAATCTAACCATGTATTTAGATTTTGGATATTGGACCATAATAGGTGAATGTCCAATTTAAAATTTTTAAGTTCTTAGACCACATTCATTCTGTGTCAGAAACCTATGCTGTGTCAAATATTTAATCACAATCCAAATGCAAAGCTGTATCAAGCTTGAATGTTGTGTCCATACTTGCCCCAACTGTTCAGGGTTCGACCTCTGCGGTCGTATCAAGCTGCGCCCTGCGGAGCATTTTATTGCCTATTATCTTGAAAAGTATATTAGATAGAGAGAAACTTTTAAGTTGCAAAAATGATCAGCAAGACAACATCTACAAATAAATTTAACATGATTGAACTCATCAGTCTACTCCTTATTAGAGTTATTGCCCTTTGATGAAGATTTTTACCAACTTTTTGCATTTTTGCCTTTTGTCTTGAAAATTAGAACAGATATATAGAAACTTAAATAAGCAAAAATGATCAGCAAGACAAGATCTACAAACAAGTCAAATTCATAGGAGTGATTGTCCTTAAATGAGGATTTTTTTACCCTCTTTTGTGTTTTGAGCAGATAAAGTAGATAGAAAGAAACTAAACAGGAAAAATGATAAGTAATACAAGATTATCAAAAAAGAGATTTTTGTAATGAATTCTATTCTTGTCTACAATGTTGGAGAGTGTCCTTTGTTAAATACCCACATAGACCTAGGTGAGTAATACAGGCTCTCTCTAGTTTATCTCATCAAAGCGAGGTGTGAGCCATACCCATCACTTGGCATCCTTCATCCTTGTCCATCCTGTAAAACAATGATAGGTGTCATAAATTCACTTGAAAATGCTTAAACCGTTCCTTGTTTGAGGAGAGAGAAAAATATAATTACAACCAAAATAAAAAGGTGTTACTTAATGTTTTTATAAGTGGTCAAATTTATTCTGGTTTTTTAAAAAGCTGTTTAAGGAAATAAAGCCACCTGAAGCAAGCTGTTTCATCTAAGCAAAATTGATTTCAATATCGAAGAACTGTTACAATAGAATTGTGTAGAGCTCATATCATAGTGACTAGTTACAAGAAAGTATATGAACACATGTATATGAATTCGATGAAATAAAAATTCAGTGTATTGCATTGGTTAAAATGAATGATGTAATAATGGTTTCTCATTCTAGGAATGGACTGATTTGGACAAAGCATTGCAGGCACAGAAAATAGAGACAGAATGTTTAAAGAATCGGAAAAATCAAGAAAAAGAGGATAGACTTCTGGCCCAAAAACTTGTGCTTGAAGAACTGAATGCCTCAGGGCCATCATCATAATCATTTTTGTTACATTGAGTACATTATATGACAATGAAAAAATCATCATAGTGGAAGGATTTGATTTGTTTTATAAATTAGATTCTGAATTTTCAAAGTTGACTATTTGCATTCTGAAAAGGAATTTTATTGTTTTCATTATCTGTTTTTAGCTCACCTGACCTGAAAGGTCAAGTGAGCTTTTCTCATCACTTTGCGTCCGTCGTCCGTCGTCCGTCGTCCGTAAACTTTTACAAAAATCTTCTCCTCTGAAACTACTGGGCCAAATTTGACCAAACTTGGCCACAATCATTATTGGGGTATCTAGTTTAAAAAATGTGTCCGGTGACCCGGCCAACCAACCAAGATAGCCGCCATGGCTAAAAATAGAACATAGGGGTAAAATGTAGAATTTGGCTTATATCTCTGAAACCAAAGCATTTAGAGTTAATCTGACACAGGGTAAAACTGATTATCAGGTCAAGATCTATCTGCCCTGAAATTTTCAGATGAATCGGACAACCCGTTGTTGGGTTGCTGCCCCTGAATTGGTAATTTTATGGAAATTTTGCCGTTTTTGGTTATTATCTTGAATATTATTATAGATAGAGATAAACTGTAAACAGCAATAATGTTCAGCAAAGTAAGATCTACAAATAAGTCAACTTGACCAAAATGGTCAGTTGACCCCTTAAGGAGTTATTGCCCTTTATAGTCAGTTTTTAACCATTTTTCGTAAATTTTTGTAATCCTTTACAAAAATCTTCTCCTCTGAAACTACTAAGACAAATTTAACCAAACTTGTCCCCAATCGTCATTAGGGTATCTAGTTTAAAAAATGTGTCCGATGACCCCGCCAGCGAACCAAGATGGCCGACATGGCTAAAAAATAATACATAGGGTAAAATGCAGTTTTTGGCTCATATCTCTGAAACCAAAGCATTTAGAGCAAATCTGATGAGGATAAAATTGTTCATTAGGTCAAGATCTATTTGCCTTGAAATTTTCAGACCAATCAGGCAACACGTTGTTGGGTTGCTGCCCCTGAATTGGTAATTTTAAGAAAATTTTGCCGTTTTTGGTTATTATCTTGAATATTATTATAGATAGAGATAAACTGTAAACAGCAATAATGTACAGCAAAGTTAGATCTACAAATAAGTCAACATGACCAAAATTGTCAATTGACCCCTTAAGGAGTTATTGCCCTTTATAGTCAATTTTTTACAATTTTCATAAATTTTGTAAATTTTTGTAAATGTTTACAATATATTTTCCACTGTAACTACCGGGCCAAGTTCATTATAGATAGAGATAATAGTAAGGAGAAAGAATGTTCAGTAAAGTAAGATCTACAAACACATCACCATCACCAAAACACAATTTTGTCATGAATCCATCTGTGTCCTTTGTTTAATATGCACTTAGACCAAGGTGAGCGACACAGGCTCTTTAGAGCCTCTAGTTTATATCTATCATTGCTTGAAAGGCATACTTAGCATATCTTGCCCCAAAAGCCTGTGTGTGTTATTGAAACGACTTCAAATTTGATGTTGGGCTTATAAAAGAAAGGTGCAAAATTGAGAAAAAAATGGTGAAGAATACGAAATGGCAAAATTGACACTGTTCTTGATCATTTGACATTGAAACAAAAATGCACATTGCATTGAATTTATCTGTTGGTTTTTTTTTTTATATATTTTTGTGACTTTTTTTTAATTATGATTATAAGAAATTCTTGTTATATAATATATATGGTGATAGAAAAGTTTTGAATATGTATTATTTGTATTAGTATGTACCTTCATTGATGTAAATTAAGACATTCATGTACAAGTGTTAGTATTAGATTTTGTTTCAAATGTTTTTTTCATTTTGACATCTCTCTATGAGTAGGTATATATTTTATTGTTCAAAATTAGTTTTTTTTAGAAAGACCTCTATTTGTTTGAGTGCTCTTCCTATTTTAAAGAAAACATCTGCCTGTTCAAGGCTTAAAGATGTTTTCCATAAATTTCTCTGGAAATTTTTTTAAAAAAATGGGCTATGACTTTAAGTATCCATTTAAATGATCATTTATAATATTTAATGAAATGATTGATTATTATCGTATTTTTTTCAAAATGAATAAAGAATATCACCATAGCTGTTTTATACTATGGTATTGAACAGTTAAATAATAGCATTTTGTTGTTATATCATTTGATGGTGTTACAAATCACATATGTTTTGTTAAATTTAATAATCAGTCTCAAATTTGAACTGTAAAGAAATATTCAAAAAGTGAAGCTTTTATGATACCTGCAAGTCATATTCATTTTTGTTGTTTCATTGAAAAGTGTTATATGCAGTAAAATTATATTCTGTATAAAGTACTGTCTTTGTATTTTTAATTTTTTCACTTTTTTTTCATGTTTTTTGCATTTAAATCCAATCAATTTGCAGTATATTAAAACATATTTAAGGTGCAACATATTAAATGAAATTTATCAATATAATAGAAAGTTATCAATAGCCATTAGAATAATTATTTTATTTTTGCTTTAGTATTTACTTCCATTAACATTTATTTTTTACAAAATTTGTGAAAAGAAACATTCTGCCAAAATAGGTAAGGATACAGTTTTTTGGGTAAAGATTGCATGAAATTCATTAAAACTCTACTGTCACTGGCTTAGCTGTATTTTCCAGGCCTCATCTCTACCTTTACAAACAATATAGTGCAGTGAGGTGAACATTCTTTAGATCCTGTACATGTCCATGTCAAGCAATTTATTAATGATATATACTTAGATATTCAGGTTACAAAATGATGTGTATGGGTTTAACCATACTTGTCAAGAGAACTAATTTATTGAAAATTACAAAAGTTGTGCATGGTGTATGAATCTATTTTAAAAATAGATTCAACTACAATTATGGACAAAGGCAGATAACTCCAATTCAAAACATTGCCTTCCATTATTTTAATGTTTAGTTCTCAGTTCACATTACAAAATGAAAGCAATCTTTACTCTTTAGTGGTCACGAGCATTTTGATTACTATTCTTAAGTTTCAGAGAAAGTGATGAGTTAGTTCTACCTGTTCTTTTAGTATGAAAAGATAATTAGCGTGTTTGCTATGCAAATGTATCAGACATTTTACCATTATATTGTGAAATGATTTTCTAAGTGTTGGTATGGAATTGTTAATACATAAAGAAAATGAAAGCACTATTAGGGATCTATACTAATGTATGTAAAATAGAATTGAACTGAAACTTTTATGTTATAGTTCCAGCTTCTTTGATATCAGCCAGATAGATAATCTGCATTTTGCTGTCAATTTGACAGAATGACTTTCTTTTATTTTGATACTCTTCCTTCTTTCTCATATTATATTTTATAAGTGCTCAGTTTGAGCAGTATGAAATCAACTTAGGCACTGACTATTCATCTATTGTAGAGGGTTTGTATTTTATATGCCCTGCCTATGATAGCAAGGGTGTTATTTTTTTCTGATCTGTGCATCCATGCATCTGTACTACTGTATCAGGTCAAAGTTTAGATTGAGGTAGTTTACCTTGAAGTTGTGGTCATATCAACATGAAACTGAGTACACATTGTACATATGTTCATAATTTGTTGCATAAAGGAAGTGATAAAAATTAGTTTGTTTCTTTTGAAAATTAGTAAAGTAAAAAAAAAAATACTTCCTGTATGTTTTTGAAAAAACTTTTTTATTAAAGTTTTTAAAAAAATCATCTTGCTCTATCAAACCCAGGACCTCCTAAAAAAGATGAATGGACAGCAGTGTTTGATTTCAGCATTCAGTTACAATAAGTAACTAAGGAAATTTTTTTTTGCATTTTAAAAGTTTGACTGTATTATCCAATTTATTATGTTGGATTTCATAATTGGACTCATGTGTTGTTTTTTGTTTTAAATAAACTTCAACATACACTTTGTAGATTTTCTTTTTAGTCCCCTACGGATGAAGTCGAAGGTGACGTTAGGTTTGCACTCTGTCTGTCTGTCTGTCTGTCTGTCCATCTGTCAGTCCAGCAAATCAGTTTTCCAGACTTTTTTTCTTTGTGCTTGAAGATATTGATTTGATATTTGGTTTATTGATTTATCATGACAAGTTACAGGTCAAGTTCAATTTTCATGATTTTAGTTTTTCTCTTTGTTCAGTTAAAGCCCTTTCCCTAGAATTGAATTTTTTATGAAATACTTATTAATTAGTAGATTTCTGTTCAAAGGGAAATAACTCATTCTTTAAAAGACTTAAAAGACAAAATGACATTTTGGATTTTTTTCCTTTTCTTTGGTAAATTGTTTAGAATTTAGTGGTAGGTTTGTTTGTCATTCTTGATGATATTGATTTGATAATTAGTACATAGTTTTATCATGACAAGTTACAGATCAAGTTGGAATTTTGTTCCAGTCTCATAATTTTGTGCAGAGTTATGGTCTTTGGACATAGAAAATTCACTTAAATAATCAGTTTTCAACACTTTTTTTCGTCATGCTTGAAGATTTTGACTTGATATTTTTATGTAGTTTACACCATGACAAGTTATAGATCAAGTTAGAATTTCGTTCCATTACAATGAATTTGTAACCGGTAGGGGACTATGTATTGCCATGCAATACTCACAGAATGCTTGTATAATCCTGGGTTAAGTGATGTGAAAATTTGACACAAACAACTGGTATTATGTTTTGAATTCTTTGACCAAAAGATGGTTACAAATTGATAACCAATATGGCCACCTAGAATTTTGTTTTTCATTGAAGCCTACAGAAAATATGCAGAAGAATCTATTTGGTCTGTGCCAGTGGATACAAAATATTGTTAGCGGGTTCTACGTGATATCATTGATAAGGCATGACTGGTAATAGCCTCCTCTTGCGATAATTCTGCAGAAGGATGAAATAACAGTATTGTTGATCCCGAATTGCCAAAAAAGTGTATAAGCCAAAAAAGTATTAAGTAGCCCACTCTTTAGCATGCCAAATTGTATTTTAATTTTAATACAATATTAGGATTTAGGGAAGAACGATTGTTTTCTATTTTGAAAATTGTTGGCTCTGTACCAGAGTTACTCGACTTGAATTAAGGCTTTAGTAATAAAAAAAAATGATGACAAAATATGGGATATAGAAATATGGTAATCCTTGGACTTCTTCCATCTGTCAGTAAACCCATGCTTAAGAGGGGTGTCCCTTTTGGTTGGGCAGGATGTATAAATACTGAGCCATGAAAAGGCACATTAGGGAACCCTTGCAAAAACTCCAAGGCTTCTGTTTCTGTTCTAAATAATAAGGATGTTCTTGTCCCAGGCAGAAAACCCTGGCCGTGTTAGGTGCAACTTTTTGGAAGTTTTGGTCCTCGGTGCTCTTCGGCTTTGTACTTGTTTTGGCTTTCAAGTTTTTTAGCTCAAAGGGCCCAAAGGGCCCCATGTGAGCTTATGCCATCACTTGCCGTCCGTCGTCGTCGTCTGTCGTAAACTATTTCAAAAATCTTCTCCTCTGAAACTACTGGGCAAAATACCTTCAAACTTTAACTAAATGTTCCTTAGGGTATCTAGTTTATAAATTGTACCCAAAGTTTTGATCCATCGACAAACATGGCCGCCATGGCTAAAAATAGAACATAGGGGTCAAATGCAGTTTGTGGCTTATATCTCAAAAACTAAAGCTTGTAGAGCAAATCTGACATGGGGTAAAATTGTTCAATTGGTCAAGATCTATCAATTCTGAAATTTTCAGAGGAATCGAACAACCCATTGTTGGGTTGCTGCCACCGAATTGGTAGTTTTAACAAAATTTTGCAGTTTTTATACGACCGCAAAAAAATTTTTGTGGTTGTATATTGGTATGACGTTGGCGTCGTCGTCGTCCGAAGACACATTGGTTTTCGCACTCTAACTTTAGTTTAAGTGAATGGATCTCTATGAAATTTTACCACAAGGTTCAATACCACAAAAGGAAGGTTGGGATTGATTTTGGGGGTTATGGTACCAACAGTAAAGGAATTAGGGGCCAAAAATAAGCATTTTTGTAACTTCCAGACATAACTTGTGTGTTAGTGTATGGATCTCTCCGACATTGTACCACAAGGTTCCATATCACAAAAGGAATGCTGGGATTGATTGTGGGAGTAATTGCCTCAAAATTTTAGGAATTAGGGGCCAAAAAAGGGGCAAAAAACAAGCATTTTTCTAGTTTCATGACAATAACTTGTGTGTAAGTGTATGGATCTTTCTGAAATTGTACTACAAGGTTCCATATCACAAAGGGAAAGCTGGGTTTGAGTTTGGGGGTAATTGCCCTAAACGTTTAGGAATTTGGGGCCAAAAAGGGGCCAAAAAACACATTTTTATACAACCGCAAAAATTAAAAATTTTTTCGTCGTATATTGGTATGACGTTGGCGTCGTCGTCGTCGTCTGGCGTCGTCCGGCGTCGTCCGAAGACACATTGGTTTTCGCACTCTAACCTTAGTTTAAGTGAAAGGATCTCCATGAAATTTTACCATAAGGTTCAATACCACGAAAGAAAGGTTGGGATTGATTTTGGGGGTTATGGTACCAACAGTTAAGGAATTAGGGGCCAAAAAGGGGCCAAAATAAGCATTTTTGTAACTTCCAGACAATAACTTGTGTGTAAGTGTATGAATCTCTCTGACATTGTACCACAAGGTTCCATATCACAAAAGGAAGGCTGTAATTGATTTTGGGGGTAATTGCCTCAAAATTTTAGGAATTAGGGGCCAAAAAAGGGGCAAAAAACAAGCATTTTTCTAGTTTCATGACAATAACTTGTGTGTAAGTGTTTGGATATTTCTGAAATTGTACTACAAGGTTCCATATCACAAAGGGAAAGCTGGAATTGAGTTTGGGGGTAATTGCCTGAAACGTTTAGGAATTGGGGGCCAAAAAGGGGCCAAAAATAAGCATTTTTTCTAGTTTCCAGACAATAACTTGTGTTCAAGTGTATGGATCTCTCTGAAATTGTACTGCAAGGTACCATACCACAAAGGGAAGGCTGGGATTGAGTTTGGGGGTGATGAATCATAAGGGGTTCAAAAAATTTTGGGGGGGTGGGGGATTTTTTTTTTTTCTTTTTTTTTTCTTTTAAAATTTTCCATTTTAAGTTGGTTATTTCTGATTTATATTTAAAAGCAAATAATAATGATATGATAGGAGATACACACCAAACAGGATGTGTAAATTATTATATAATAAGTATTGTGCAATAGCAAGAAATTTTCAATTGCACAGTATTGCACAATAGCAAGAAATCTTCAATTGCACAGTATTGCGCAATAGCAAGAAATCTTCAATTGCACAGTATTGCGCAATAGCAAGAAATATCAAATAGCACAATATTGCGCAATAGCAAGAAATTGTCAATTGTACAGTATTGCGCAATAGCAAGAAATATTTAATTGCACAGTATTGTGCAAAAGAAGATACTTAGTATAAATTGCTTATTTCTTGACCAATTTCAATGGGGTTTTATTCTTGAATTCTTGGGGTTCTTTGATATGCTGAATCTAACCGTGTATTTAGTTTTTGGATTTTGGGCCCCGTTTCTAAATTGGTCCACATTGAGGTCCAAAGGGTCCAAAATTAAACTTTGTTTGATTTCATCAAAAATTGAATTATTGGGGTTCTTTGATATGCCGAATCTAACCGTGTATTTAGATTCTTAATTTTTGGTTCCGTTTTCAAATTGGTCTACATTAAGTTCCAAAGGGTCCAAAATTAAACTTTGTTTGATTTCATCAAAAATTGAATTCTTGGGGTTCTTTGATATGCTGAATCTAACCATGTATTTAGATTTTGGATATTGGACCATAATAGGTGAATGTCCAATTTAAAATTTTTAAGTTCTTAGACCACATTCATTCTGTGTCAGAAACCTATGCTGTGTCAAATATTTAATCACAATCCAAATGCAAAGCTGTATCAAGCTTGAATGTTGTGTCCATACTTGCCCCAACTGTTCAGGGTTCGACCTCTGCGGTCGTATCAAGCTGCGCCCTGCGGAGCATTTTATTTGTTATTATTTTGAATATTATTATAGATATATATATAAACTGTAAGCAGCAATAATGTTCAGCAAAGTAAGATCTACAAAAAAGTTAATATGACCATAATTGTCAATCGACCCCTTAAGGAGTTATTTTATCCGAAGTTATGATCCATTGACAAACATGGCTGCCATGGCTAAAAATAGAACATAGGGGTCAAATGCAGTTTTTGGCTTATATCTCAAAAACTAAATCTTTTAGAGCAAATGTGATATGGGGTAAAATTGTTTAATTGGTCAAGATCTATCGGCCCTGAAATTATCAGACGAATCGAACAACTTATTGTTTGGTTGCTGCCACCGAATTGGTAGTTTTTACAAAATTTTGCAGTTTTTATACGACCGCAAAAAAATTTTTGTGGTCATATATTGGTATGACGTTGGCGTCGTCGTCGATGACGTTGGCGTCGTCGTCGTCGTCGTCGTCGTCTGGCGTCGTCCGAAGACACATTGGTTTTCGCACTCTAACTTTAGTTTAAATGAATGGATCTCTATGAAATTTTACCACAAGGTTCAATACCACAAAAGGAAGGTTGGGATTGATTTTGGGGGTTATGGTACCAACAGTAAAGGAATTAGGGGCCAAACATAAGCATTTTTATACGACCGCAAAAAAATTTTGTGGTCGTATATTGGTATGACGTTGGCGTCGTCGTCGTCGTCGTCGTCCGAAGACACATTGGTTTTCGCACTCTAACTTTAGTTTAAGTGAATGGATCTTTTAGAAATTTGACCATAAGGTTAAATACCACAAAAGGAAGGTTGGGATTGATTTTGGGGGTTATGGTACCAACAGTTAAGGAATAAGGGGCCAAAAAGGGGCCAAAAATAAGCATTTTCTAGTTTCCAGACAATAACTGTGGAACGGTGTATGGATCTCTCTGAAATTATACTACAAGTTTCCATACCACAAAGGGATGGTTAGGATTTGCTTTGGGGGGTTATGGCTCAAACCGTTTAGGAATTAGGGGCAAAAAAGGGGGAAAAACAAGGTTGTCCTGGTTAATGGACAAATACTTTAGTACAAAACATAATTTAAAGCAGTTTAAGGGAGATAAATCAAATACATCATTGAAATTATCTCCCTTACACTGCTTTTAAATTATGTATAAAGTAATGGTTAATGAACAATAAAGATAATTTAAAACAGTGTAAGGGAGGTAATCCAAATACAACGTTTTTGTTACTTCCCTTACACTGCTTTTAAATTATGTTTAAAGAAATGCATATTTATAAAGGAAGACCAGTAAAAATATCTGCAAATGTTGCATCTTTTTTTTTTACAAAAAAATCCATATGAAAGATTTGACACTATATTTTTAATTCTATTATAAAATAGATTAAGTTAGCACTATGGTAAATTTAAATGGGTAATTATGGTTGCCAACTCCATTGGAAATTTGAATTGAGATTATGACCATATCTTGAGGGAAAGAATTTTTTGGGGGAAAAAAGAGGGGGGGGGGGATAAAAAGAAATTGTGGGGGGTCAATTTTTTCTCATTTCAGATTTCAGAAATTAAAAAGAATTATTCTTCAAATATTTTTTTTTTTTCAAATTTCAAATATTGAAAAATTTCAAGAAGTAATCTTTAATTGCACAGTATGGCGCATTAGATTTGTAAAATCTTTGATCACATTTATTTATTTGTTATGCCGAATCTAACAGTGTATTTAGATTTTTAATTTTGGGTCCAGTTTTCAAATTGGTCTACATTAAGGTCCAAAGGGTCCAAAATTTAACTTTGTTTGATTTTAGCAAAAATTGAATATATGAGGTTCTTTGAACATGTATTTAGATTTTTGATTTTTTGCCCAGTTTTCAAGTTGGTCCAAATTGGGGTCCAAAATTAAACTTTGTTTGATTTCAACAAAAATTGAATATATGGGGTTCTTTGATATGCTGAATCTAACCATGTATTTGATTTTTTATTTGTGGACCCCGTTATCAAATTGGTTCATATTGAGGTCAAAAGGGTCCAAAATTAAACTTTGTTTGATTTCATCTAAAATTGAATTATTGGGGTTCTTTGATATTCCAAATCTAACGGTGTATTTAGATTTTTAATTTTGGGTCCTGTTTTTTAAATTGGTCTACATTAAGGTCCAAAGGGTCCAAAATTAAACTTAGTTTGATTTTAACAAAAATTGAATTCTTGGGGTTCTTTGATATGCTGAATCTAAACATGTGTTTAGATTTTTGATTATGGGCCCAGTTTTCAAGTTGGTCCAAGATAGGGTCCAGTATTTAAACTTTGTTTGATTTCAACAAAAATTGAATATATGGGGTTCTTTGATATGCTGAATCTAAACATGTATTTAGATTTTTGATTATGGGCCCAGTTTTCAAGTTGGTCCAAATTGGGGTCCAAAATTAAACTTTGTTTGATTTCAACAAAAATTGAATATATGAGGTTCTTTGATATGCTGAATCTAAACATGTATTTAGATTTTTTATTTGTGGGCCCCGCTATCAAATTGGTTCATATTGAGGTCAAAAGGGTCCAAAATTAAACTTTGTTTGATTTCATCTAAAATTGAATTATTGGGGTTCTTTGATATGCCAAATCTAACCGTGTTTTTAGATTTTTAATTTGGGTCCCGTTTTTTAAATTGGTCTTCATTGAGGTCCAAAGGGTCCAAAATAAAACTTAGTTTGATTTTAACAAAAATTGAATTCTTTGGGTTCTTTGATATGCTGAATCTAAACATGTGTTTAGATTTTTGATTATGGGCCCAGTTTTCAAGTTGGTCCAAGTTGGGGCCCAAAATAAAACTTTTTTTGATTTCAACAAAAATTGAATATATGGGGTTCTTTGATATGCTGAATCTAACCATGAATTTAGATTTTTTATTTGTGGGCCCCGCTATCAAATTGGTTCATATTGAGGTCAATAGGGTCCAAAATTAAACTTTGTTTGATTTCATCAAAAATTGAATTATTGGGGTTCTTTGATATTCCAAATCTAACGGTGTATTTAGATTTTTAATTTTAAGTCCTGTTTTTTAAATTGGTCTACATTAAGGTCCAAAGGGTCCAAAATTAAACTTAGTTAGATTTTAGCAAAAATTGAATTATTGGGGTTCTTTGATATGCTGAATCTAAACATGTGTTTAGATTTTTGATTATGGGCCCAGTTTTCAAGTTTGTCCAAGTTGGGGTCCAAAATTAAACTTTGTTTGATTTTTAAAAAAAATTGAATATATGGGGTTCTTTGATATGCTGAATCTAACCATGTATTTTGATTTTGGACATTGGACCATAATAGGTAAATTAAAAAAATTCAAGTTCTTAGACCACATTCTTTCTGTGTCAGAAACCTATGCTGTGTCAAATATTTAATAACAATCCAAATTCAGAGCTGTATCAAGCTTGAATGTTGTGTCCATACTTGCCCCAACTGTTCAGGGTTCGACCTCTGCGGTCGTATCAAGCTGCGCCCCAGCGAAGCATTTTATTGTAACTTCCAGACATAACTTGTGTGTTAGTGTATGGATCTCTCTGACATTGTACCACAAGGTTCCATATCACAAAAGGAATGCTGGGATTGATTTTGGGGGTAATTGCCTCAAAATTTTAGGAATTAGGGGCCAAAAAAGGGACAAAAAACAAGCATTTTTCTAGTTTCAGGACCATAACTTGTGTGTAAATGTATGGATCTTTCTGAAATTGTACTACAAGGTTCCATATCACAAATGGAAAGCTGGGTTTGAGTTTGGGGGTAATTGCCTGAAACGTTTAGGAATTTGGGGCCAAAAAGGGGCCAAAAACACATTTTTCTAGTTTCCAGACAATAACTTGTGTTCAAGTGTATGGATCTCTCTGAAATTGTACTGCAAGGTACCATACCACAAAGGGAAGGCTGGGATTGAGTTTGGGGGTGATGAATCATAAGGGGATTCAAAAAATTTTGGGGGGGGGGATTTTTTTTTTCTTTCATTTTTTTTCTTTTCTTTTAAAATTTTCCATTTTAAGTTGGTTATTTCTGATTTATATTTAAAAGCAAATAATAATGATATGGTAGGAGATACACACCAAACAGGATGTGTAAATTATTATATAATAAGTATTGTGCAATAGCAAGAAATTTTCAATTGCACAGTATTGCACAATAGCAAGAAATCTTCAATTGCACAGTATTGCGCAATAGCAAGAAATCTTCAATTGCACAGTATTGCGCAATAGCAAGAAATATCCAATAGCACAATATTGCGCAATAGCAAGAAATTGTCAATTGTACAGTATTGCGCAATAGCAAGAAATATTTAATTGCACAGTATTGTGCAAAAGAAGATACTTCGTATAAATTGCTTATTTCTTGACCAATTTCAATGGGGTTTTATTCTTGAATTCTTGGGGTTTTTTAATATGACAAATCATACCGTGTATTAAGTTTTTGGATTTTGGGCCCCGTTTTTAAATTGGTCCACATTGAGGTCCAAAGGGTCCAAAATTAAACTTTGTTTGATTTCATCAAAATTGAATTATTGGGGTTCTTTGATATGCTGAATCTAACCGTGTATTTAGATTCTTAATTTTTGGTTCCGTTTTCAAATTGGTCTACAATAAGGTCCAAAGGGTCCAAAATTAAACTTAGTTTGATTTTAACAAAAATTGAATTCTTAGGGTTCTTTGATATGCTGAATCTAAACATGTATTTAGATTGTTTATTATGGGCCCAGTTTTCAAGTTGGTCCAAATCGGGGTCCAAAATAAAACTTTGTTTGATTTCAACAAAAATTGAAAATATTGGGTTCTTTGATATGCTGAATCTAACCATGTATTTAGATTTTTGATTTTTGGGCCCCATTATCAACTTTGTCCACATTGATGTCAAAAGGGTCCAAAATTAAACTTTGTTTGATTTCATCAAAAAATGAATTCTTGGGGTTCTTTGATATGCTGAATATAACCATGTATTTAGATTTTGGATATTGGACCATAATAGGTGAATGTCCAATTTAAAATTTTTAAGTTCTTAGACCACATTCATTCTGTGTCAGAAACCTATGCTGTGTCAATATTTAATCACAATCCAAATGCAAAGCTGTATCAAGCTTGAATGTTGTGTCCATACTTGCCCCAACTGTTCAGGGTTCGACCTCTGCGGTCGTATCAAGCTGCGCCCTGCGGAGCATTTTATTTGTTATTATTTTGAATATTATTATAGATATATATAAACTGTAAGGAGCAATAATGTTCAGCAAAGTAAGATCTACAAAAAAATTAATATGACCAAAATTGTCAATTGACCCTTTAAGGAGTTATTGTCCTTTAAATTTTACACAATTTGTTCATCAAGTTTGCTAACATTTAAAAATTTCTCCTCTGAAATACAGGTGAGCGATTCAGTCTCTTGAGAGCCTCTTGTTTCATCTGAGCGTCACTGGATGGTCTTGTGTGGACGAGACGCACGTCTGGCGTATTGAATTTTATGGAAAGCCTCAGCTGTCATATATTAGATATTTAAAAAACGTTATGCTGAAGCTTTAAATGTAAAGTTAAGACAGCGTGATATTGAATTGGGTCATCAAAATGCTAACTCTAAATTACAATATGCTAAGTTGAATTTCCGCAATGTTGACTTGCAATGACAAGTGCTTTAGTCGTGATAGTATAATGATAAGTCACGATGTTGTGATGATATGCCAAACACACGTAACGTTGGGTTTAAAGTACATGATGTGAAGTTGACGTTGCATGATGTTAGCTTGCAGATGGATACTGCTCAGTCATACACTTCGATAGCTATTTAAACAAATAAAATGAATAGCTAAAATGTATGGTGCTGACATGTTATTAATAAATGTTGAGCTGAGAATGTACGATGTTATATCATTGTGATATTACGATAGGTCTATCATGCAATCTGTTGATTTAAAACACCATGATGCACAGTTGAAAGTACATGATGTTAAGTTAAGATAACACGATGCTACACCACTATATTGAAACAAAAGGCTTACCATACAATTTGTTGACTTAAAACAAC